GCTCACCTAATGAGCATGAGTTGGGCTAAATGGTAGGACTATGGCAGAAAAGAGCAGTCATTATTCTGTAGCATGTGTAGAAATAGCATGATGGAAGTGAAAGGGGGCATCCATATGAACTGGTAATCTCACCATTCTTTCCAGTTCTTGTTCTTTCCAGGTTTGTTTGTGTTTGTTTTTGCAGGAGTGGGGGAGAGATAATTCATGAACAGAGAGCCCTAGCCAGCAGGGTCAATGGTCAACAGAGAGTTGAAGTCTAACAGCAGCTGGAGGATCACAGGTTCCCAGCTCTATATGACTGGCTATTTGTGCGGAGGAACTGGCTTATACAGAAACTTAGCTGTCTGGTGGAGGGACTTGTGCCACCCCTCCACTGAGCTACTTCTGTGTTGGCCTCAGTGTGTCTATGAGCTGGGCCTAGGAGCAGAGGCTCATTTAGTCCTCCCAGAATTTTTTTTTTTAAATGTTCAACATATGTGTTAATCTGCTCAGCAGTAAGTGCTATTAAATGTTAAACACCTTTCCACTTTGGGAGTTGTTTTAAAATAGACAGTAAAAATAGTAGGATGGTGAGTACATACTAAGGTATACAAGCAGACCTCAGTGAGATGGCTGCTGTTAACACCTATGACAAATTTAAATGTATTTCTAAGAATGATTCAGATGCAGAAAAAAACCATGTGGGTTTGAGGCACTTTCCTGGACCAAGAAACAGAAAGCATAACTCACTTTTTTATCCAAGAACACAACATTTTCACCAAACACAGGTATGTGGTGGGGGTAAATATAACATGTTGAGTATAACTTTTACTGCTGGTCCATAACTTTATGATTTCCTGGGTTTTTTTCTTTTCTTTTGTAAATCACCAGTACAGTGGTGCCTCGCAAGACGAAATTAATCCGTTCCGCGAGTCTCTTCGTCTTGCGGTTTTTTCGTCTTGCGAAGCACGGCTATTAGCGGCTTAGCGGCTATTAACGGCTTAGCGGCTGTTAACAGCTTAGCGGCTTTAAGAAAAAGGAAACAAACTTGCAAGAACTCGCAAGACGTTTCGTCTTGCGAAGCAAGCCCATAGGGAAATTCGTCTTGCGGAACGACTCAAAAAACGGAAAACTCTTTCGTCTAGCGAGTTTTTCGTCTTGCGAGGCATTCGTCTTGCGGGGCACCACTGTATTAGAATTATAACGTTCCATTCTCTCAAAAGGTGGATCTGCACTCTACTCTGGTATTTGCAGGGTATATCATGGAACAAAGCTATCCATGTTTTCATTAAAAAGTGTTTATACAATTATCTGAAATCAGCAATCAGACAAACTCCCTACCGTATTAAGCTTCCAGTCAGACAATTTAAAGGCCTCACTAAATTTCATCAATACTTACCCACGTGAAATCGTTCTAGGTACAGAGCCATTTCCCCCCAAAGTAACAACTGGCACCTTATCTATCATAGCTTGATACTCTAAGAGCCAAGGAAGAGGAGGAGAAAACTTTCCTAGCAATTAAATGCACTTTTCTCCTTTTATATTGTGGAAAAGAATGTAGCATTTTTCCTTGTGAAGAGGAAGCTGTTCGGACTATAGCTGCTGGACAAAGCGCTTTGAAGCCAAACTGTTTCTTCCAATCTCCTCAGTGAGACTCTCTGACTCGTTGTCTGGCAATGACAGGGAGCCTCAGATGCAAAGGAACAATATCCGCCCTCCCTTCCCCACAGGTGGGCGGGGTTTGCGGCACCAAGCGAGGCTCACCTGGGCGGGTGCCACCCACCTGCTTGAGCTGGCCTTTGACCCGCCCTCGGCCAGGGAGGACAATGGACGGCCGGCCGGGGGTGAGCCTAAGGCCAAAAGAAAAGAGGCTGACCCCTGAGCTCAAGCCTCTTTTGCTGTTCTTCCGTCTGGGATCACCCACCCACCCTCCCTCAATTAAAATTTCTTGCCTTTTAATTTCAGCTTAGGTTGGCATTCTTCAATTTAACGATTTCTTCTTTACAGGCTAATATTTTGCGTTCCAGGTCAGCGGGCGCTGCTGCGGTCGTAAGATGGTTGCTGTATTCAGAACCGGGAAGGAATTTTCCCTGCATTGGCAGGTTTCGCCTTCCCCGTAGCAATTTCGTCACAACTTTGGCGGTTTTAGGCCTTGGCAAGGTAGCCTTTAGTCTAACATCAAGTTGGGGGGGGATGCATTCATGCTCCCTCCCCATGCGGCGGTGTGTGCAGGGCCCATTAAAGGGCAAACCAGCAGTCCCTGGCCCTAGAGCGGCGGCATGTAGGTCAAACTCCCCAGACGAGGTCAGTGGAAGGGCATGCTGTGTAAGTTTGCGCTTTGCAGTCCCCTCTCACTGGGCCTCAACTGCCTGCATATCTTCAGCCAGGTGGGCTGAGAGGGTTACCTGCCAAGGCCTGTGCCAAGTTTCCCACTTCTGAAGTTCAATAAAGTTGTGGCCAATTTGAACCCATACTCTGGTCTCTTGTGTTATCATTTGGGGAAAGGGGTAGGCACCACAGACAGGGTTTAGCGCGTGTGCCCCTACAATTAGAAGTGCTCTTTAAGCTCCCGATGTCAGGTGTGGGACTGGTGGGCATGGTGTGAGGGAAATGGCATTGTATGCCAAATTGGGACTCATACCAGGCCCAATTAGAAGCAGTGATGAGCTGGGTGTGGACCAATAAACAGAAGGTGAATCCTGAAAAGACAGAGCTGTTAATGTGTCCTGAGTTCTCATGTATGGGAAATGGGGAGACAGCCTGTCCTGGATAAGGCTGAACTCCACTGATAGGAGATCTGTCGCTTTAGGGGTGCTTCTGCATTTAATACTCACTGGAGGCTCAGGTGACTTTTGGGGGGGAGGGGGGTTTGTATTTTTTCAACTATGGCTGGATCATCAGCTATGGCTCCTTTGCAACAGAAATAACTTGGTCACTGAGCTCCATGCTCTGGTGGTATCCAGACTGAATTATTGAAATGCACTTTGTGTGGAGCTGCCCTTGAAGATAACTCTGAAACTTCAATCAGCTGACAATGAAGTGGCCAGATTACTGACCAGCGGTACCTATTTATCTACTTGCACTTAGGGGTGCTTTCGAACTGCTAGGCGGGCAGGAGCTGGGACCGTAAGACGGGAGCTCACCCCGCCGCGGGGATTCGAACCGCCGACCATACGATCGGCAAGTCCTAGGCACTGAGGTTTTACCCACAGCGCCACCCGCGTCCCGTTTAGATCTTACACAACCCCTATTTTTAAACAGCTGCACTGGTTTCCAGTTGGTTTCCAGGCCCAATTCACAGTGGTCAAGTTAGTGACTCCAGTCCCAAATACCTGAAAGACTATCTTATTCCTTGCAGACCCTCTTGAGTGTTAACATCAGCAGAGGGGGCCCAAGTGGTTGTTGCGCCAACCTCAGAAGCTTGAAGAGTGGTTGCATAGCATATATCCTGTGTGGCTGCCTGCAGCGGTGTAGCTAGCCACATGGGTGCCCGGTGCGGTGTGCACGTCCTGCAGCTGGGGGTGGGGCAAGCTGCCATGGGGCGGGGCACGCTGCGTGGAGCCTCTCCACCGCCTCCCCCTCAGCTGTAGGGCAGCTGAGGGAGAGGTGGTGGGCAGAAGCAAGCCCCAGCTGCAGTTTCAGGCAGCGTGGAGCCTGCAGGCGCCCAAGCCACCATGTCACTCCCGGGAGAGACGCGTGGCTGGGGCACACTGCAGGCCCTGCAGTTAGTGCCGGCTCCTGCATGGTGGCACCCAGTGCCAGCCACGCTTCATTATGTTTGTTGATTGAACTAAAAAGGTTTGTGAGCCCAATTTTTTAAAAATTGTTTTTTAGAACTCATGTTTTTGTCATTTTGTCACCCCACCTCAGTGATCACACCCGGGGTGGCCTGCACCCCCCACACCATCTTTTTCTGCCACTGGCAGGCTGGCAAACAGCTTTTGGCAAATGTGGAAGGCATATTTTTTTACTCTGGCTTCTGCCACCTAGATGTATATTTTTAGGACCCAGCTTATTTCTGGGATTGCAAAGTTTTAAACTGTTTTAACACTGAGATTTAATTGTTGTCACCCACCGTGGGACCTTAGGGTAAAGGGTGTGTAATTAATAATATTGATGATGATGATAACAACAACAATAGTAACAATGCCTGAAGACCGAAATGTCCCCTCTGACATAATACGAGTTTGCTACTTATCATTGAGTTTAGGATTGCTCATTAAGGATAAATGATCACATAAAACAGACCTAAAGTGAAGCACACCTCAACCTTCACAAAATGATAAAATGATACTTTTTTCCTAATGTGACACTGCCTTTCAAGTTCTAAGCATCTATTATGGCAAATTAAATGATGTGACTTCAAACAAAGGATTGCTCAAAGGTTTTGTTCTGTTAGATGTTTTTAGCATCTTTGAAACTGTGATACACTAAGAAACATATGCCAAACAACGGGAGACTTCACCCCTTTGGCACAAAGAGAACTTGTGAGTAATGTATACTTTCCTTTTTTGGTTAAAAATCCACTGTAGTTTCTACAGAGCTATGTGCAAGTGTCATATTTCAGGACCTAGTTACTCTTTAATGGCAAGGCAAGAAGAAATGCTTCAGTTACTCAGTTTTCAAAGTGCAAAGATTTCTGTTGTGACTAAATCTACTACTTCAAACAAAGCAGAATTTGTATTCTGAATAAAGCCTGCAGCACAGAGGGGAAAATGAGATACAGTGTTAGCAGAGAAACTTGGTCATTACATAAGGAAATAATGAGTTCTTGGGGTGCTTCTACTTAAAATGTATATGTTTGTAACCTGTAAAATTTATAAACCTACAATGAACTAATACTAAAATGTTTATAAATCAGGATTAAAATACCTGCAAATGATTATCAAGTTTGAAAATAGTCCTGTTTTCTTTTCCTTATGTAAGCATATTGTTAAAGGAAAGTTTCCAGCTGTGCCTTGTCAGCCTAAGGACCTAAAGTATTGTGCTGCTTTTCATTTTCTCTAAGTGAAGTTTGCACAATTCTCAATAGCTGTATTAGCAGAATCTTTGCACACAGGGCAGAGCAGTGCCTTGTCCCCAGGGAAAGGAACTATTTCAGACCCTAAGGAGTCATCTTACATGTTTCAACATAATTCTACTGTTGCTTTCTTTATTTTAAAGGCAGCCGAAGTTTCTTTCTTTTGAAGCTGGAGATTAAATAACAGCAAGCAGAATCTACTGTTAGATTAGATTACCAGGTAATATATTGCATTTACATTTTAAATTATTGCTTAAAGATAGGTAGATTCATGTGAAATATATGTAAAACTTTGCTTAACAATTTGAGATTTAAAGTATGATGTACTTGCATATGATAGAACAAATGTCAAATATATTTGCAGAAAGTACTATGTATTTAGTATCATTGATTTTAATAAGCATGAATGCCACCAATAACAGAGTTATATAGCAAAAGAAAATGCAATGTGGAGTACTGTTTATCCATTTTTATGAATAACAGTAGTGTGTTGGCAAAGTTTTAATTGCTATGTAGCTAAATTCACAGCTGTGAAAATATGACATGATAATTAATAATGGTGTTGTATAACTATCAACTCCTTGTTCCTAGATATATTGCATAAAAGTCCTACTTTTACTGTTTGAACAGTAGTTCATTGGAATATCAAATGTAATGTTTATGCAATTTAGCTTAGAGTCTAAGTACCTTTAATGAAGATCAGTTGAAGAAATTAACCATTTCCTCTGCCTTGCTGACAGAAATGTACTAACTATAAAGAATGACCAGCATTCATAATGCAATATTATGGTACCTGGGAAAGTATATTTTTCTCAGCATTCAGTGACATTGTGAAGGATGCATTTGTGCAATGCTGGCCAAATCAGAAGTTACTTCTTGAATGTGGTATGAGAGGGAACAAATAATAGACTCATAGAATTGTAGAGTTGGAAGGAATCCCCAGAGTCATTTAGTCCAACCCCCTGCAATGCAGGAACTTCAAAAAAATCCTGTGCGTAACATGCTCCCAGTCACTGTTGCGCACTCCATTCACTACTGCTAGGCAGGAAGCAAAGTCTGATTCAGTTGATCACATGTTCATTCTCATAAAACACGCACCAGCACAATGAAGAATTGCTATTGCCTTCTTACAGATTTTATGTAAGGATAGTTGGCATGTTATCAAATCTGCTCGTGACTATATGCACATATATGTGAATACATGTTCACAGAGGTATCAATTTGGGGGTCTTTACAGCAGTCAGTTGCTGAACCCAGGAGTTACTCAATAGAAACAGTTACATTAGAAATGCCCAAACTACCTTCCATGCCCATAGGAATTAGCAAGAACCAACCAATCTCAATACAAATGAATATACAATATTTATTTCAAAAATGCCTTTGTGGATTGAAGAGCAAGCACAGAGATATAAAAAAGCAAGATGGATAGTTGTTACACATTACACAAACTACCTGAGTCCATATTGCTAGGCCTGTAAGCATAAAGATTCCTACTACACAGACAGTCACTACATTATATGATGTGAAGATGGATGAATTATAGAATTGTAGAGTTGGGAGGGCCCCCAAGAGTCATCTAGTGCAACCCCCTGCAGTGCAGGAATCACAGCTAAAGGAAGCTGGTAAAATGTGGGTTTAACGAGGTAACTGATAGGTGGATTTAAAGCTGGTTGACTGACCAAACCCAAAGAGTACTCATTAATGGTTCCTTGTCATCATGGACAAATCCTATATTTGTGCATCTGATTATTTCTGCCTTAAGTGTACAACTTTACATTTGTCCCTATTTAAATTCATTTTATAAGTTGTGGCTTAGTTTTCTAGTCTGTTAAGGTCATCTTGAATCCTGATTATATTTTCTGAGGTATGTATTAGCTACCCTTCCCAGTTTGGTGACATCTGCAAATTTGATAAGCATCCCCTCAATTTCTTCATCAAAGTCATTTATAAAGGTGTCGAACAACATCAAGTCCAGGACAGAATCTTGAGGCTCACCACTTGTCACCTTTTTCCAGGATGACGAGGAACCATTGGTGAACACTCTTTGGGTTCAGTGAGTAAACCAGCTACAAATTCCCCCTTGTCTAGCGCCTTGTCAAATTTTACCAGTTTCTCTGCAAGAATATCATAGGGGACTTTGTCAAAAGCCTTACTGAAATCAAGATATATTACAGACACAGCATTTCCCTGATCCACCAAGCTTGTAACTCTATCAAAAAAGAAAAAAAGGAAAAAAAAGATTAGTCTGGCATGATTTGTTTTTGAGAAACCCATGCTTGCTTTTAGCAAATACAGTACCCTTTTACAGCTCCTCACAGACTGACTGACTATCTGTTCTAAGACCTTTCCTGGTATGAACAAGGTCCCAGGCAGAATTGTAGTGGAGGAATCACCACCACCAATTTCAGTGAGTCTGCTGTGAGTATGAATAACATTGGATATAACCTACAGATTTTAACAAATCTACCCTGAGTGTGCTTTAGTTGGATACATCCCATATAGTATGTCCTACACTGACAAGCAACAAAAAAGCCCATTGAGAATCTTGGCAATAGAGAATCATGAAAATAATGTATCAATGCTCCATCCCACATCTTCAGATATTTTAGGCTAGAACAAATCCTTGGCAATTGGTCACACACCTCACTGCCCAATTTAAACTATAGAAAGCTGGCCAAAAAACAGTGGGCATTAATAATCACTGCAACAGCTGGGTACAAACATAATCCACTTCAGAGAACTCTTACCATTTTCTACAGTTCTATATCCTACAGTTCCACTAATCTCGAAAACTCCTTTTTTGTGTTTTCTGTAGGCTACAACACTAGAAGGAGAAAATGCAAAAAGCAGCACTATTCTGTTACATTCTGCTTGTTTCTCTGTGCATTGCTGTTGTTCAGAATGAACGCAATGTAATGCGTAGGAGGGCAAGGAGGAGAATGCGCTATAGAGGGTTAAGAAAGAGCTCCTCAGGAAATCATAGACTAAACAAGCAACAAGAAATCAAATCCCCAGTCTTTATTACTCCAATACCAAGCATTCCGCTTATTAATATTGATGGTGATATCACTGAAGTATTTGACTCTCTGATTGGTCAGGGTGGACAAGAATCCAGTTACAATATTTTACCAGGTAAGCAGAGAATATTTACTTTATTATTATGCTAACTAAAATGCCAAGCCTATACTCGCTCACTTATATACATATATCTGAACTAAAAAGGACTTATTTCTGAGTAGAAATGCAAAGGGTTGTACTATCCACGTATTTACTAAACATATCAATTGCTTCCCAGAATTCTGCAAACCATGTATGTACTTTGCCTGCTGTAGAGAAGTTACAGAAGCTGAGCACCCTGTGCAATGCACTTCTACAACTAAGCAAGAGGGACATGAGTAGCGCTGTGGTCTAAACCACTAGGCCTCTTGGGCTTGCCAGTTGGAAGGTTGGCAGTTTGAATCCGTGCAATGGGGTGAGCTCCCGTTGCCTGTCCCAGCTTCTGCCAACCTAGCAGTTCAAAAGCATAACAGTGCAAGTAGATAAATAGTTACCACTATGGCGGGAAGATAAATGGCATTTCCATGCGATCTGTCACTCATCACGGTCCTCCATGTGCCAGTAGCAGTTTAGTCATGCTGGCCACATGACCCAGAATGCTGCTTGTGGACAAACGATGGCTCCCCCGGCCTGAAGCGAGATGAGCACTGCACCCCATAGTTGCCTTTGACTGGACTTAACTGTCCAGGGGTCCTTTACCTTTTTACCTTTTACAACTAAGCACACTAATTTCTCAAGACTTTTATACCACTGTTCATACAAACATATTTGAAGGCAGATCAAAATTGGAAACAATAAATTAAACTAATACAAAAACACAATTCAAACAAAAGATTTATATGTTGACTAAGCTTTCGTTATTACAACACTAATGCCAAAGAACAAGATATGCTTTCAAAATACTGCTTTTCTCAATAGATAGTAAATAAAAATCAGTTCCAAATTATTCATTTTTTTCTTTTTGTCCTTTACTCCTTCTTTAAAACAATAATCCAAGAAACAGGCAAAGTATTCTCCTTCATATTCTCATAACCTTGCTAGCAAAACACATGGAATTGAGTGAACTATTCACTAAGTAAGCTTCAGCACATAATTTCAACTCTTCATTGTTGAAGTATTGAATCTGATCCAGCAATTGGACAGTTCTCCAGTTAACATTTTCACTACCAATAAATGGGCAAACTGTGCATGATCCAAAACCCATCTGTGACTCATAAACAATGACAAGAAACCAACCTCTTAAATATGTATGCATTATACAGCAGAAATAAATATGAAGCAATGGTCCAAAAAGGGGGAGGGGGGAGTTTGATCATTTCTCACAGTCTCAGCAGGTATGAATCAAGGCCCAGCAATGAACTGCTGAAGAAATGCATTCCACATGTTCTATCATCCAGAATGCTCTTGCCCCCTTACTGCAATTCAATCATAAACTCCCAGAGTATCCTTCAGAATGCAGTGATGCTTTCCTCAGTTAAAGTGCCTCCTATATACTGAAAGGTATAATTTCTCACAAAGAAACAATGTGAAGAATAACACACTTTGCATGGTAACGTATTAAATAACATTTTTCAAAACTGAAATGTTTGTGGTAGAAACAAACTATCCTACCAATCTATATGGGAAAGGGTGGGTAAAAATATAAAATAAATATGTGTTTCACCAATAATAACAGAATCCACAAATGGAGAGTTTAAATTGGAAACTTGAATATAAAAGTGAAAACAGAAACATACATATGCTCTGAACTCCTCCTATTAGTAACCCCATACCCTGCTTTATAATGCAACTAGTTTATATAACACTAGTTGATAGAAATTGCACATGAAAATGTTCAGAATGACATATATGCATTGGATTTATCAAGAAGTTACTGCTAACTTAGCAGTATATGACAATGTGAATACATCTACTACATTGCGGTCACTAAGGTGCCAGCTTGGCTGAAAGTTTACCATTTTACATAATTCTAACCATGCAACTGGTTGAGAAAACTCCTCTTGCCCCAAACGGCATTTGGCTACTTTAGAGAATTGTATTACTGTTGCATATGAAACTGGATCATCTTCGAACATATATTCACCCTTCCTTCTAAGGCATGATAAACATTGTGTTGGACAAATAATGTCAACTTTAATAGAAATGGCTATGATAAAAAAAAATCTGATCAGAAATGATAGAGAACTATCATGTCCCATTTATAATATACATTGTTGATTGAAAACTGTTCATTTTGAGGCATTTTTTAAACATTAAATACAACTGGCAATACATGTACCAAGCATTTCATTAACTATTTCAAATCTTCCTGTCAGAAATCATCAGCTGAAGTAATATGTGGTTTCCTCCTTTCCCCATTGATTCTTGTCTTTTTAAAACTGGAATTTTACCCAAAAGCTGAGCTAAAACCACTAGACATTTTAGTTGACATATTGGATCTGTACCATATTTCCAAAGGTTGAAGGCATTGAGATATCTGCCAATGATTTAAACCACAAGGTATTTTTCTAGTCTAGTATTTAGAATACAAGTTAAGGTCAGATTTGGAAAGAAGCCTATTTAACAACAGATCCTATAATCAATCTTATGTCCATATTATTTTTTTTAAGAAAGATCATAAGCATCTCTGGCTTTAGCAGCACTCCACATCTTTCTTTCTTAAAATCTTCTTTTGTGTTTTCTTTTCATGATTCACATTTTAATAATATATATGTAGTGTGTAGACTACAAGCAAGCTTTTTCAATTGAACTAGCGATACTCTCTGTTCCATTCCCCCTCTTCCTAGCCTAGTCCTACAATCAGAATTCTTTGATGGTGGCTTAGTGATTAGCAAGTCTTAACACTGCACTCTGAAAACCATCAGTGACCCCTGCAAGTAGCTTTCCTACTTCTGTCTGATGGTGATAAGGAGATCTTGCATGTGAGGGCTGGTACCTGATCCATAACTATAATTAAGGCATGGTGGCTAACCTTTGGTCTTTCATATATTGCTAGACTATGAATCTCCTGATTGTTGGCATCTGCCTGTCTCAAGAGACAATGGAGCGTGCCTCTGGGGGTGAAGTCAAACTGCTGGAGAATCACAGTGCTTGCTGTGGCTGCAGAGGCCGGAAACACTCCAAATCCCTAGCACATGCTAGGCCGTGCTAGGGAATTGGAGACCCACAACAGCTGGAGAACAACTGATTAACAACTCCAGCTCTATACTGGACAAAGTAGGTGTACCGAAAGGTAGCAAGTAACTTCTGAGACACATGTCTGATATATGAAAACAACCAAGCAAGCTTTGTTAGGGTTGTCAGCTATTAGCATATGAAATTAAGTCCTAATCTTGTATTTCTCAACTGTTGGATGAGGATTAACATCAGGTGCTTGGAAAGTAGTGCATTTCCTTTTAGAGTTTTAGGAATGACCACTACCCACCCTGTTTAGAATGGCAAAACTGATTATGCTCCTGTAAAATGCTTTCAACTGTAGTACCTGAAACCCAAGATACCAGGATTGCAAACTATATCAAATAAACAGGAAAAAACACAGTAACATCAGTAAAAGCAATCTAAACACTAGACATATTAAAGAAGCAGAAAAAGCAGAACCATGAAATTCTGCAAAAGCTTGCTGAAATAAAACTTTTCATTTACTATTTGGTGGGTGGAGTTGCTAATTTCCGTTGGCATATTGTGGACCTCTCTTGAGTTTAGCTAGCTTTTTTAGACTAAGGACTTGGATTGTTGATCAACAGAGGTTAACAGGCAGTGTAGAAGGCCAAGTAAGTTTATTTCTGTAGCAGAGTATACAAACTCTTACAAATATTTACACTAATTTAAAATTTAGGTGATCAAAAACTAAGCCTACATGTAAATCTCAATAATGTAATATGACTAATTAACTGTAGAGGGTAGGGTTATAGATTTAGAAATACTATCTATGTGATAACAAATCTCCTTACAATGTTAAATAAAACTTATTTTGATATAAAATAATGCAATTCATGTTTGGTAATCAAACCACCAGGATAGACAGGTGGCTACAATGACACAATCTTTTTGTCAATGATATCTAAATTAAAAATATTTCTATATTAAAGATATTAACAAAAAAGTATCATTTACATGGCTCTCCCAAGACAGAACATGATCCCTCAATTACATCATCCAGTTCTTTATTATTTCGTTCTTTAATTTATAATAGTCCTTCTTCTAAGAGCTGGATGCAGTTTACATGGTACTTTACACATAAACATTTTCTCTTGTAAAAACCCTATGTTGTGTGCTAGGGTGAGAAATAATGGTTAGCTTGAGGTTATCCAGCTTCAGGGTATCCAGTGAGCTTCATGGCTAAGTTGGGATTTGATCATGGGTCTCCCCGAGACCTAGTCTGACATTACGCTGTATCTCCCATGTTGGATACATACCAAGGATGGTGTGTAGCATCCTTCTTGTCCATGCACAGTTGTTTTCAACATTGATTTGGCTGGGGAGTCTTTGCTCATGCATACACTAGAGCCCCCACAGAGATTTGTATGAAGATGGGTATCTGGAGACTTCCGGGGTGGCGCCATCGGCAATGGCGGACTCCCTCTGAACTGGAGGGACTAGCTCCGCGCGAAACGGGTCTTTTCCGCTACGGCGAAGCGGGGACCCTTTTAAAAATCACAGGCGGATGAAGCCTGTGACCATGGGACTCGGCGGGCACCCTTAGCGCCCCCCCAACCCGCAAAGGAACCCACTAACGGGCTCCGAAGCGAAGAGGGGAAGCGGCGCGGTGCTGTGAGTCAACTGCTATTTCCGTGGAGCGAAGCCGCATAGCCGTTGCCGGAGAGCGCTGCCTTTTTCCTGGGACAATTTGGCTTCTAAAATAAGCACCCGTGAGTACTTAAACTTTGAACAAATTGGACTTTAAACAAGGATTTGCGAGCAGAAAGGAATTGGATTTAAAAATTTACTTCAATTTGGTACTGAAACGGGAAGGTCTAAACAGGAAGTCAGCCTTCCATTTCTTTGTAAACAGAATAAAGCAAAGACAACGTAAACTAGAGCTCAGAAAATCGCTTCTAAAGGATCGGCTTTCAACATTTAAAATCTTCGAACCCCCCTTCGGCAGCAGGAGAAGAAGGGGATCTTTTTCGGATTGTTTAAACCTGCAGAAGTGAGTTTAAAGTAAAGTAACTTTCCACCGTCCTGATCCTGGAATGGGGTGTCAGGACTGACGTTTGAAGCTCATTGACCAGAGACAAACGTTTTTGACAGATAGCTAAAAGAAGAGAAACATAGTGATTCCAATGTTTCCTTTCGCATTTTAAAGGAACAAATATGGACAAAATATCTTAAAAAAGAAACTTTGTTGCAAGAACAATTAGAAGTTTTCCCCCTAGAGGGAGACTGGGAAACTGTAACTAATTCCAGGGAGCTTGCAGCTGTCACAGATTACAATCGTGGGAAAAGGCTTGTGACCTTGTAGGACAATGTATTCAGAAGCTCTGTTGTGTGCTCTCTGTAAAATACATGCTCTATTGGAACAGTTAACTGAGAAGACGGATTTGATGACTAATGTGGCCAGAATTTTTGAACAGGCAGTGGGAAACTATATGGAGCCCACCCAGGAATTAAATCAGGAGTGTGCCCTGACAGAACAGATGAGAGAAGAGGATGTTGTGGAATCTTGGGCGCCAGAGATGGAGGGAGCTGCGGCCCAGCAGGAACATGAGCTTTTGGATTTGACAAATGAACTTGGAGAAAGCCAGATTAGGAAAGATAAAGTTTGGTTTGGTTTGGAAATAGGGGGGTTGGATAGACCCCCCTATGCAGGGATGTTTGGACTTTCCGAGTCTGGCAATGGGCCGTGAGATGTTTGGAGCTGTGGGGGCTCTCAATTTTGGAGGGATTCTGAAACATGTCTTTAAATACTACATGGAGTTTAGTCTGGACTATGGAAAAGGGGCTGATTTGTTGGAAAGGGTCAAAAACATTACCAAGCTGGAGTTCCCACGAGTGGAAGGTGAATATGAAGAAGAGCTGCGGAAGGGACATGGAAGGGACTTAAGGGCCTCGGATATAAGGTTACCAGGTTAATGCGCTAGATCGATGGGATGAAAAGGACTGACAAAACCCGGGACCAGGAGGAAGGGACGCTGGATGAAGATTGGATTGTTTCTATCTCTTTTTTTTTACTACTAGGATTGTTTTATAAAACTGATGACTGTTAGAAAAATGTTGGAACGAAATTACTTGGCTCTAGCAAAAATGTTTAAAATAAGATTTAAGTTTTAAGGTTTTTTATAAGATAAGATGAAAATAGATTAAGGTAATGTAATGACAGAATATTATGAAATATGGAAAGGATTTGCTGTGATAATTAATAACTGGGATACAAAAAAAGGGAGGAGGAGGAGGTCAAAGAAAGAAGGTAATGAAAGTTGAAGATTTGAGAATGTTGGTTTTATTTTTATATGTTTGTGGTGTATTTTTGTTTTTTGAATTTGTATTGTTGGATGTGGTTTGTTTTCTTTTTCTCTTTTTTGCTTCTTTCTTTTTTTCTTTCTCTGCTTTGTCTTTTTCTGTAATTTTAAAAATTTTCAATAAATATCATTTAAAAAAAAAATGAAGTTGGGTATCTGGAAAACCAACTCACCAAATGTTTTAATTTACCAATACATTTTATACCAATTTTAAAACTTGCTTTTGTTTTCCATTTATCAGGAAAAGAAAATAAATGTTTTGCAAATGGGATGATTATGTATGATAAGTCTGTGTGGTCTCCTAAACCCTGTGTTACGTGCCTCTGCTCAAAAGGAAAGGTGTTGTGTGATGAAACCTTGTGCCATCCTCTGACGTGTCACAATACCAAGATACCTGAAGGAGAGTGTTGCCCAGTGTGTATGGATATTGGTACAGTATATTGATTTTTTTTGCATATTTCAGACACACAATATATATACAGGATACAATTTAGTGTAAGTAATGTAATCCTTTGAATATGTGCAGCTGCTAAAAGGCAATGAAATTAGGAATTATTCTTTGACCTTTTATTATTTGCATAGATTATGGTAGGCTGTATATGTATACAGGCATTTCCACTGGGGATATCTATTGCTGTCCTGATTGTCCATGATGATGGTGGCATCTTTTTTTGCCCCTGTCAGCGCAGCAACTAGGCCAACATAGACACTCTTACCCATATGGAAATGTCAGCAGACATGAACAGCATATCTGCATAAACTTAACTGAGCCACAAGCCCATGAACAGATCTGCCTGCTTTCCTCCTCCCTCCCTCCAGTGAGGAAACAAACCACAAAACAGCTGACATAACGTTATATCTGAATCAGGATTTGTGGTTTGTTTCTCCCAAGCAAACATTGATCAGGATGCCTAGAATAAACCTTGGTTTGGTTTATCTTGGTTTGCTTAGAGGGAAATAAACCATGGACACTGGTTCTGATGTAATACTACATCACCCACTGTGCTTGCGTTTTCCTACTGGAGGAAGGGAGAAGCAAAGCAGGAAAGCTCAAGCTGCATGTAGTAGCACATAGCTCATGCATAAACTAATTTCCTAATAGTTTATGGTTTAGTGATGTATCCAAACATTGCCAATGTGTAAGCACATGCTGCCATTAAATCAAAGGTGGGAAACAAAGCAGGATAATATACCTTTTGCATTTGAATTTTTCCTTCATAATTTTGAGTTAATAACTGGAAAGTTATATACAGTAGCTATTGGCACTACTGTTGAAAAGGGCAAAATTACCAGACACCTTAACTCAGTCTGTATATATGTATGTGCGTAAACATACAAAAAACGCACCAGCAAAACCACTGTAATTTTCTTATCTTAGGGATTTTATGCACAATACTGTATTTTATTAATATTCTTCACTATAATAGAATAATTATTCTCTTCAAGCACATATATTAATGCCTGCTACTAAAAACTGTGTTATCATTTTTCTTTATATTGATATCGACTGTCCACTTTCAACACCATGACCTCCTTGCTTTCAGAGCTAAGTACTATTTCACTAGGTGACACATCTGAATTTTCTGGTGATAATCTAGAGCCCAATGACCATACTGATCCAGTCTTGTACAACCGACAAACACAAGATCAAAATGCTGAAAAGAAGGGGAAACGGCTTGAAAAGAAAGAAATTACTATAAAAAATAAAGATAAAGAGAACCAGCAAAGAAAAAGCCATGAACAGAAGGAAAAACATGTACAGACAAAGGATCAAAGGGAAGATGAGAAGATGAGAGCAGCAGAAGAAAGGAGAAGAGCATATGAAGAAGAAGAGTTAAGAATAGAAAAAGGATTCAAGAAAGAGGAAGAAGAAAATGAAGAAGAAAGTGAACAACCTGAAGGAAGTGAGGAAGAAGAAAAAGAGGAGGAAGATGTTTTGCGTGGTGATGTATTCAGAATGCCGCCTCGTTTTCCAATTCCTGAGCCTTCTACTGAAGTGCCTACTTTGCCAACCGGATGCTCCATCCTGGACAACACAATCAGCTGTGTTAATGCCAAACTCAAACAAATACCACCAATCATGGATGCAGAGCTTACAAGCATAGAGCTTGTAGGTAAGGAAAAAACTGACCTGTTTATTATAATAATTTTCAAATGCATCCCACATTAATGTTAGCTCTACTATTTCTATTTGCACCGGACAATTAATGTCCAATGTTCTCATTGTAAAAATTGGAGGAGGGAAGGGACAATGTGATGTAAGTTTTGATATTCATTGCTTGGCTATATCAAAATCCTTGCTTTGTTGGTTTATGAAGAAGCAATATGGAGACATCGTAATGTTTACTTGACACTAAATATGGTACTAAGCATCTATGTGATAAAACCATAAGGGAAATGGAAAATGATTAAGAAATGGAAGTGAGTCTTAAAATTCCTATTGCTATTACACACCTTTCCTTTTCCTAGGTAATACTATAACTTCCATCCCAGATGAAGCTTTTAATGGGATTCCCAATTTGGAAAGGATTGATCTTCGTAGAAATAATATCACATCATCTGGCATAGGTCCACGGGCATTTAAAGTAAGAAAATCTAGGGTTTTTTAATTCTTTGTGTGTGTGTGTGTGTCAATGTATAGAAATGGCTGTTTTGCTGAAATTGTTTGTCAAAGAATCCATGAGAGTACATTAATGAATACTCTGTAACTCTTCACAATTGCAATCAATAATGAAATCACTGACAGAACAAAGTGAGATCTGGGGATATTTTGTGAGAATTACTACTTTTACAGGTTAGGGAGGTGAAAATTAGTGGCTTCAATTTAATTTTAAATTCCCCATGTGCTAGTGTAAGCCAACGCAGGCCACATACAGTAATATTCATAAAGCACACATGAACCTAAAGCAAACAGCGCTAGAAAAAAATATTTTAAAACTTAAAAATCAAAGTTAATTCGATTTCTCAATTTGTATCTTCCCCAACACAGATATTGAAGAATTTGCAACGTTTATATTTGGATGGAAATGCACTAGTACATATTCCGATTGGTTTGCCATCAACTTTAGAAGAACTTAAAATAAACGAAAACCAACTACATGCAATTGATGAATACAGCTTTGAAGGTATATTGTAACTATGAATGCAGATGACTAAGGTAATAAAAGCTTACAAATTCATGACAAGAAAAAAAGTAGGTAGAACAAAAGTAGGTGGAACAACAACTTCCATATTATTTAAAAATGCATCCTACAATTTTTTCGTTTACTAACTATGAATAAGAATACATTTTAACACTACAATTGCATAGACATTCTTGTACTTGGCGACAGCTCCTAAGTGACAAATTATATGTGTCATGCAAATTGATAATGGTTGTGCATTTGCCAAATCTTCTACAGAAACAGCCATCATTAGAACTCCTGTCAGCAAGTTTTATGTCTCGAAGAATGCATATTTTTATTTAAAATATAAAGCGGCATAGAAATAAAATATGTAACAATAATTCCCAGAGACACTTGGAGTGGATCATGTACATATATTTTTAAACACGGGAACTGCACTCTTTGTTATATCACACTGACAGATCTGATTGTGCACAAAGTTGTTTTTCCAGTACTTACGGTAGCTACACGCTTTACAAGAGGGACAACCGCCCTCTACTCAGATGCATAAGAATGTAGCCGTAGCCTTGATTTTTACCCAGTAATCTGCCTAGAGGAGAGATTCTAGGTAACATACTCTTTTTAATTCCACCTACTCTATAGAACGCAGGTGGCGCTGTGGTCTAAACCACAGAGCCTATTGCTTGCCGATCAGAAAGGTCAGCGGTTCGAATCCCCACGACAGGGTGAGCTCCCATTGCTTGGTCCCTGCTCCTGCCAACCTAGCAGTTTGAAAGCACGTCAAAGTGCAAGTTGATGAATAGGTACCGCTCTGACGAGAAGGTAAATGGCGTTTCCGTGTGCTGCTCTGGTTTGCCAGAAGCGGCTTAGTCATGCTGGCCACATGACCCGGAAGCTGTTCGCTGGCTCCAGTCGTTCGCGACTGGACCTAACAGTCAGGGGTCCCTTTACCTTTACCTTTATAGAAATGTATGTAAGCTGCCTTAGGATGGCTTTTCCTGAAAGTCAGTCTAAAAATACTGGAAGTCAATAGATTATTTATTTATTTCATAAAATATATACTGCTGATTGTAAGAAAAACCTCAAAACAAAGTTTACAAAAAGAAATTGTGTACTGGTATGGCTAAAACATGTAAATTACCCGGTTCAGAATGTGAATTGATCTAGCTCTTAATGCTGAAAAGCAGTATGAACAGAACATTATTTCACTCAAAATTTGTTTATAGCTTGGGATGCAAAATAATACACATTATGTTCATTTTGCTACTTAAAAATTGTTCAAAATACATATCTTCTTTTTAAAGACCAAATATCTTCTAAGGCATTAGTTGCTGATAACAGAGAATCTGGTTAGTTTTAAAAGTCTGTTGCCAATGACTCATTTGCAGTATCCAGATGCCACCTTTGTGAAATTAAGTACCTTCTTGGGGGCACCCTAAAGTGAACCTTTCCTGGCCCAAGAAGGACTGCAGAAGATCCGGGAAGACCTGAGGCTCCCCTGTTTCTCACAACAGGAGATAGAAATGGGAGAAGGGGATGAGAGATCCTTCTTATGAAGGACAGGAACTTTTATTTGAATCATAGCACAAAGGGTAAAAAAATAAGTTTGCTTATCAGATTCAGAACAAGGCACAGTTATATTTTCAATGCATGTGGTTTCTACTTGAAAACTAGAATAAAAAAATTAGTGTATTCCATAATTCTCGTGTATTATATTTATTCCTAATTTATTTAAATTTACTATAATCATAGTTGTGTCTTAGTGAACCAATAACAAACAAGTGTGGAGAATTATAAATTGTATTCAAATAAACATGAAGTTCTCCTGCTATTATTAAATAACATTAGGATTAAAATTTCTCTCAGATATTCTGGAGGCGTAGGTCAATGAGAAGAGAAATTGGTTAGAATATGAAATACCAATATTCAGATTCTTTTTTTGCCCTGAATCTTACTGGATGAGCACAAACATTTCACCATGTTTGCTTTATTTTCAAAAGGTTTAGAAAAGTTGGTGACACTGGAATTAGAAGGGAATAAACTCAACGAAGCTAATGTTAGTCCATTAGCCTTTCAACCTTTGAAGACCCTGTCTTATTTGCGCCTTGGACGGAATAAATTTAGGACCATTCCGCAGCGCCTTCCCAATTCTATTGAGGTAAGGTTTTTTAAAAATAAAAAAGATGATCTGTTTCCTTTTCCATAATAGTCAAGGCTCCTCTAGGTGACCTATCCTGATTTGCTTGCACAAGGCTTACTGTAGAGGTTAGGTTTAGCATTCCTTCTGATTTGTTTGTGAGGCAGGTATATGACAATCAACATTCATCCTGATATGCTTGTGGGGCATTAATATGTTGTCCTGCTAATCACTTGTTTGTTCCATACTTTTAAATGCATTTTCCATCACTTTCCTAATAGCAAAAAAGTGAATTTTTAAAAAGTGAATTTGTTGCACCAGAGCAACAGAGAACTTTAAATTTCGTGGCATGTGCAAGAATCTCATATCCCACATCCCCCCATGGCACAAAATACTGTGAGATTGGAGACAACCTTAAGCTTTGATCCTGGGCATGCTTATTCATTAGTAATTGCCAATAATTTCAAAAGCATTGAGTCAGGATTGAAGTCCAAGGGCAGGTTTAGGGACATGGGGAAAATAGATGCAATACTCAATCACACAACCCGTGCAACATATGAAGGGGGAACTTGGGCTTCTCCCCCTTTCATTTGGAACTAATGCCTCTTAACTAACTTTGTCTGGAAACAAGGAACAACTTTGTTGCCACTTTTGGAAAATAAGTAAAGCAGCTTTACGCCACATATTCTACATTTTAAAATAACCACTTTAATGTATTATACAATACACTTTTCACATATTTCCTTCTTTTACCATGCATTCTAAATAGGAATTATATCTCGATAATAACCAAATTGAAGAAATTACAGAAGTTTGCTTTAATCATACCAGAAATATAAACACAATTGTTCTGAGGCACAACAAATTAGAAGAAAGCAGAATAGCTCCTTTGGCATGGATCAATCATGAGTAAGTGTAAACTTTGTGTTATTTTCCAATCACAACATTTAATTAATTAAAGTATAGAATAAAGAAGTTGTACTACATAGAAGATGGAGGTTCCACAAATGTTTTTCTTGGCATATTAACCAACTATTTGCTGGTATACAAAGAGAACTTGGGAGAGAAGAGTGTGGTCTTCTTACCGTGCTTCCTTTTGGAGAAGACAGAGCAGTGAGAGACACACATGCTGCTTCTGCTTCCTGTAGAAAGCTCAGGGCAATTTGAAACTAACTCCAATGTCACACCCCCAGTCTACTAGCACAGTACAGGGTACTAGGGTATTTTTCATCACTTTGCACAGAGCTTTGTAGGAAGATGGCTTCAGTGAAAATACATTTCTCAATTACTTGATGTGATGTAGGATATAAGTAACTTCACAAATGACTCTTTCTAACATGATGGAAGGACTTTGTGTATTTCCTTCTAAACATCCAAAGTGAGAGAAAATCCTTTCTCCTGTCCCAGTGAGTCTTCTGTGCATGCCAATGGATTTGGGGGCTGTGTTGGCTCTTGCTTGATTTTGCACAGAATTTCTGGAGAACAGAACAAGTCCCTTACACTGTTCTATCTTCAGGACAATTTTATTTCCAGACCCTTTCTCTCCAGATTGCTCTGCTCTTAGTGAACTACTGAGGAGTGGAGAGGGCCAACAATGATCATGATAGCAACATGGCAAATGAATTTGTAGACCTCTGACCCAGAAAACTGTCACCTTAAAAAAATATCAAACTATTCCATACTCCCCAGGCGAGCTTATTTTTGGATTTTGACAACATATACCACACAGGTGTCTAGTTTACTTAAAGCAAAATTATAAACACCGGAAGCATCTTCCTCTGAAGAAAGGAACTCTTGTGTTTTTTTATTTTTGGTGTTAATGAGATAGTTATTCACTGTAAGCAGGTTACATTCTACCAGTCTATCTCAGTAGATAGTAGAATCCCGATGTCTGGAGGAAAATGTCCAATTAAAGGACGTGGCTATTAAGTAAACATTATGCTAATGTGTTACCTTTTAAAATAGAAAAATAAGGAACTATGGGTACAGTTAAGATGGGCAGGAAGAGAGCATACAGGTAGCATTTATTTATTTATTTATTTATTAATAAATAAGCGATCTCGGTCCAGTATACCTGAAGGAGCGTCTCCACACCCATCGTTCTGCCTGGACACTGAGGTCCTGTGCTGAGGGCCTTCTGGCGGTTCCCTTGCTGCGAGAAGCCAAGTTACTGGGAACCAGACAGAGGGCCTTCTTGGTAGTGGCACCCACCATGTGGAACGCCCTCCCACCAGATGTCAAAGAGAAAAACAACTACCAGACTTTTGAAAGACATCTGAAGGGCAGCCCTGTTTAGGGAAGCTTTTAAAGTTTAATAGACTATTGTATTTTAATATTTTGTTGGAAGCCGCCCAGAGTGGCTGGAGAAACCCAGCCAGATGGGCAGGGTATAAATAAATTATTATTATTATTATTACTTTTTACTGCTTTTTGCGCAAAAATGCCTCTGATCATATACAACATAGATTCATACAATCCAACAATAAAACTACTGACCAATTAAAACATTTCAATCCAAAGTACACAAACCAGGACTCTGGATGGAGATAGATAATGCTATCATCCTGGCAATAATATATATTGTTTCTTCCTTCAAAGGGAAATGCATTTGAACACTTGAGATATCTGATGTGTCAAGTATTACAAATTGTATTTAAAAAAACTTGACTAATGAGATAACTGAGAGTGGGGAGAGTGGTTTTAACTCCAAAAGAGTACTTTAGCACAGATGTCCTGAACTAATGGAAGAGAGGAAAATTAAATAGACGGTTTGGCCTATGAATGTGACTATAGTTATTATTCTTTTTCTTATACAGACTTGAGCAATCTGTCAGATCCTGGACAGTGACAGTTATGTAAACATGTTTGGACAATAGCTATGGGAAAAGAGTAGGTGGTAGGAAAAAAATTCTCTTTAGTGTGAATTTGTTTTGGAGAGCTGAGATATGCCCTTTGACTTTTTACAGTCCTGCCCTTTTATTAATTAGTGCAGAGTAGAATGTACTGCAGGCTGAAAACTACCAGTTGCTATGACAAAGAAGAGCTGCTCTCAGGCAACCCAAATAATTCACCATTTCTCCTTATAGCCTGCTAACTCTTTATGGCTAGAAAGCAGGATGGCAGCCCATCCCTGCCTTGTACATGTAAAAATGCCCATGGATGGTTAGGAAGATAGAAAGAAGTACTGCCAGTGTGGTGTAAGTGGTTAAAGCAGCCTTTCTTAACCTTGGGTCCCCAGATGTGGTTAGACGACAACTCCAAGCATCCCTGACCACTCATCCTGCAAACTAGAAATGACGGGAGTTGGAGTTTTAGAGCCGAACAACATATGGTACAAATATTCCCCAAATGGTTTCCAGAAAAATAGATAAGACTGTACGCCTCCAATCTTCCTGAACTCTTAAAATGCATGTTATGTATGAAGACAAAATTATTTACTTTATGCTCTTACTTTTTAATATTTTTTCACTTTATTTTAGGAACCTGGAATCTATTGATCTTTCTTACAATAATATATATCATGTTCCCTCCTATCTGCCAAAGTCATTGGTGCACCTTGTGCTTATAGGCAACCAAATTGACAGAATCCCAGGATTTGTATTTGGACACATGCGGCCAGGGCTGGAATATCTGTACCTTTCATTTAACAAACTTGATGATGAGGGAATTGATCCTGTGTCATTCTATGGGGCATATCACTCTCTAAGAGAAGTCTTCTTAGATCACAACCAACTGAAGTCTGTACCACTTGGAATTGCAGAAATGAGATCCTTAAATTTTCTGAGGCTCAACAATAACAAAATAAGGTAAATAAATAAATAAATAAATACACATCTTAATTGTAAATACAATAATGTTATACTGGCTTTCTATTATAAATGTTCAAACACAGCAAATCATGGTTTATGGGATTCTTGCTTACTTCTTTAACTGAATCTTTGAGGCCACTAGTGCAAGACATTGTTGATTCAATACGTCATACTGATCCCAATAATTGGGATGCCATATTTTAGGTGGTCCTGTTTCACTTCCAGACCAATGGTCCCTCAAACTCTGAAGCCCCCTACTAGATGACTTTGTGGAAGACTGATTTTATGAACCTCAATTAACCCCGATGGCAAGACTGAAAATCCACATTCAGATGCAGCATAGCTCTGAATTGCAGATGCTGGGGGGAAAGCCATGAGGAGGGATGTTGCCTTCCTACTCTGTTTACCCTGGATGGGCACTGAGGGAAACAAATGCTGAACTAGATGGGCCTTTGATCAAATATGGCAAGGCTCTTCTTTTGTTCTAACTAGTTATTGTTGAGCAGTAGTCATCCGAAAATTCCACAGTGAAGTGTAAATAAGCATACCACATTCTTCAGACCAAACTTTCCTTAACAATCCAAGGATGGTGCCTGACATGCACTTAGGACATTTAAAATGATAGTGGTTGAACATCAGACTACAGCAGTAAGAAAAGAGTATGCTCCCACTAAGTCTTTTTTCATTTTCTTTTCCATATGAAGATGGCAAACAGCAGTAGGAAATGCTCAGATACATTCTTCACAAAGCCCACAATATAGAAGATCATTGAATAAATAACTGCATATATTAGATTTATATCACCTTATTTCCAAACAGGTTTACATGGCCTGAGCATGTAAAAGCAATATGGTATGAGGATAGCAGCATTCCCATTTATCAGCAACATTTGGTATCGAGAAAGTAAGAGGCTGTCTAACCCTCAAAAGCAGGATAGGAAGTACGTGGTACTGTCATGAATAAAAATAGTGTCTAAATTTTAGGCCAGTATTAAGAAATAACAAATGTGAAGGTTGACCAAGTTTTCTAAATGAGTGAACCAAATTTCCTGTTCTGAGAATTTTCTGCAATGCTGCATAGGTTTCTAAATGTGACTAGACATCAAAACATGTGTACACAAACAGAAAACACACATGTATGTTGTAGAGGTACATACTGTGTTCATGTTTTTAGTAGTGTGTGCTATGTGTGCAAATGACAAAATGCTTGATAGTGGCTTATAATATGCCTAACCAGAATATCTGGGGACCCATAAAATGAAAAATTCTGGATACAGCTCTGTGTTTTTTCCACACTTTTTACAATAGTTTCCATCTTGAAAATGAGCTGCGAAGAAAAAGGAAATTTGCTAGCAAAATGTAATAGTTAATCTCCTTTAACTATTTCATATATGGTTTTACAGAACAGTCCCTACTGAGCGCATCTGTAGGAGTAGGTCGGATAATGAAGAGGAGGAGGAGGAGGAGGAAGATGATGACAGTGAAGAGAATCATGATTATGAAGATTCACAATTAGAACACCTTCATCTTGAATATAATTACATCAATACAAGGGAACTTTCACCATATGCTTTTTCATGTGTCAGATCATATTCTAGTGTGATTCTGAAACCTCAGAAGAGCAAATAAAAGAACTGTTTTTGCATGTAAATACTATAATTAGAATATTTGTTCTCCACAAGCAAGAAAACCAAAGCACAAATTATGAAAGGTGCCGCAGCACTATTACTTAACAGTATTATTTATTATTAATGAAGGGTAAGGTATAATTGTAGGAATATCTCCAGGAAGCTGGCCGTGTACATGCCTAGAAATATTATACTTGCAGCCTATTTTTCACTTCTAGTAAGATAAATATTGCATACCAATGTGATAAGTGAGTACAAGAAAGATTCTTGAACTTCATTGACCTTCTGATTTTCCTCAAAAAGTTGACTTGATAAATATTTTCAATACAATGAATTATAACCCTACAGAGAGGGGAGGGCTGTGTGTGTGTGTGTGTTTGGAATTGCATTTCAAATTAAGAAAATGCTGTAAAATGCACATATAAATTAAGACAGTACCAAATGTAGAACATTTGGGGCCTCTTCATACATGGCATTAATGCTAACCTGTGCTGTAGGTTACTCATGGGAACCGCAATTAAAAAAAACAAACAATGTAATACAAATCAATACATCACACAACATTATTTGAGTAACACATCTCACTAAGCTGCGTTACTGAAAAGCTCAAGGAGCAAGGAAGTCTTGGTGGGAGTAGTTGCAAGCATAGTCTGACTATTCCTTTAAGGAGTGACGGAGGCATGAACCAGAGCTGGGAGAGGGACTTTCATTAATACAGTGACAGCTGTGCCTGAGAACGTAGCAATAGTCTACTATAATACCACAATAAGGGAGAACTTCTGCTTTGCAGATGCAGAAGGTCCCAGTTTCAATCACTGGCATCTTTTGGTAGAGCTGGACATGTCCCATGTCTGAAGAGCTGCTGCTAGTCCATGTAGACAGTACTGAGTTACATGGACTTATTCAGCACAAGGCAGCTTCCTCTGTTCTAGCAGAATATGTGATGGCATTTAGTTCATGCAAAAATAATACCTGCTTGAAAACAGGCACATGTTCCAAAGCAGAAGTACACTAAGCTCCAAATAAGCTCCAAAGCAGGGAAAGCAGTGGCTCCATAATATACAAGCATAGAAAATCTGTAGCAAAGGAATGGCACAGTCTGCGCTAGTTCCTCTTGAGACCAGATTGCTTGGGAGCAGGATAAAAATGGTTTCAAAATAATAGGCAGAGTTGCCTCTATCACAGTTGCTTACCATTCACACTTCTCATAGTACAACTGTCATCTGTTACCTCCACTTGCAGACAATGTAGATTACGCTCAGAGCAAACTTAGAAACCGTACAACACTTTGCAGATTTAAAATGGTATCAAATACCATGAAGAAATGGCATGTTGCTTATGGATAGGATCTTAAAAAGGACAGAATTAACAAGTGACTCTAGCTTATGAACATATGAATCTGCCTTATACTGCGCTGTGTAGCCTAGTGTTGCTTGTTTAGACTAGCAAAGGCTCTCCAACCTGAGATACTTTTAACTGACGATGGCATATGCTAAGCTACACCTCTGAGCTACACCCTCTTCACTGTTTGATGCATCCTGACCATTATGTGGTGTGATAAAGAAGCAGAGGATAGAGAAGCTTTCTTCATATAGATGTGTGCTATTTGAGGCATAATCAAAAGCTATGCAACTTGCATTTATCATCAAAGGTCAATGCAAGCTGACGTCTTTGTCATCCACTAATGATATGCAGTTTTTGCTTGCATCATTAGCAAATTAAAAGGCAAAATTCCCCACAGAAAGTAATTCCATGCTAGTTCACATCGCAGTATTAAAGCTTTCATGGAACTGTGAACACTAACAAATATTTCAAAGAAATAGAACAAGTACTACAAAAAAAAACATTTTGACTGCACTCATACTTGCCTGAGGCAATCCAAAGTATGTTCAATGAAAACAAGATAAATTGGAAAATCCACCTCCTAACAAATCTGTGTTAATTGAGGTGGTGACAAGAATGAATTACATGCCTGAGATGTAGCGGCTGGATGGCTTTCCCCAATAATTCACATTCCAGATAAAAACTTGAAACCATGGAAAGCAGACATAGGATGATACAGTTGTTCCACTGTAAACATTCTTAGTTCCAGCTGCGGAAGCCACTGCTGAAATCATCATGTGTACATGTTCTAAAAAGATTTTGACAGACAACAGCTTTTTCTAAGTTTGGAGGCTTCTTCCACAATCATGAACTGAATGGCTGTTGTCCCTGAAAAGAAGAGGTGACTCTAGAGTCTGGTCACAAAATGTATATCATGCCACTATCCCTTTGTTTCAATAACATGCTCTCACTATTCAAAGAGCCACTAAGAACTGAGGGAAATTAAAACAAGGTGTAGGAGCAGGAACTCTGATTTTACACTACCCCCTGCCAGCTAGCATTTTGCATTACCTGCTTGCTCCATTATGCAACATGGATACTTTGCCAGACTTCATGACACATGATATTTTACTACAAAATACACTAGCAAAACACACCAGTCCAAAAGTAAGCTAATGGTCAGGAACCTAGGAATCTGACAATGTGATAAGTAAAAGGTGGGAAATAAAATGTTTTGTATACTTGCTTAAGATACAATAAGATTTGTGACCTTTTCTCTCTCTTATTTGTGCCTTTAAGCATCTTTGTGGTAAAAAATATGACTCAATATCTGCTAATATGTAATCCTCTTGAGAAATATTTTTTACCCCTAATCTGAATTATTAGATCACAACTGTGGCTCTCCAGTTGTTGCTAGACTGCAACTCCCATCATTCCTGACCATTCGCCATGCTAGTTGGGGCTGATGGGAGTTCAACAACATTTGGAAAACAACAGGCTTCTCACCCCAGATCTAAAGTAAAAGGAAAGGTGCCTTGGTAAGTGATATATTTTTGGTCTTTTTGTAATTCTTATAACATTTTCAAGTTATTCTATCAAGATTTTATTACATGTTCTCTTACATGTTATGCACTTTTACAGTATGGTATAAGATTGCTCAAATATTACATATAACATATGTGTTTTCCAGGAAACATACATGGAGCGGGTAGCATATTCATGGGCCAATAACATGCATAATACATGTGCTTGCAATTATGTGCATATATATATGCACACAGACACACACATATATACACACATATATACACAGATGTATCTTTGGTAAGATAAATAACATAAAAAATCTAATCAAATGATAACGTATATTTTTAGCTTTGAAAGTACTATTGTTTGATAGCCATTTTCATGCTATATAAGGAATATTAGTAATTATAACTGTCTTCAATACTATAATAATTATAGTATTAGTAATTATAACTGTTTTCAATACTATAATAAAGTATTTTCAAAATACATATTGTCTTCATATTGGTTAGTACAATTACTTGAGCACTGTACAGTACTAATAGCAGCTGGATAATGGGAAGATTTGGAACCACAGCCTAGCTGGAGTAACTTGAATAATTGGGATGAATGGGGACTAAAAGGGAACTGGTGATGAGGTTACTAGAGTGTATAATGCTAAAATCTCGAGTACTGAGGGAAAGTTAGGGTATTAGTAATGATTGGAGATATTTGTAACCAGATTACGGGACTGGAAAAGGAATTTGGCAGCATGGAAATGTAACTGTAATAGAACAAATCAATTATCGGGAAGATGTCAACTGCACATCTTTTACAGATATTGTCTTTTCAACATAAGCAAACAGAACACTCCATTCTGATGAAAGTATAAGCTCAGAAAAAAATTCCATGGTCTCCTTTGTAATTCTTCCATCATTTTTATTTACCTTACCATTTGCCAGACATTTCTCTCATATTTGGTGAACTGCATTGGTATGGTATTATAAGGATTGGCTATTGCAGTGGTAGCCAAAGTGGTGCCGTCAGATGTTCCCAGATTTAAACTCTCCTCATCCCTACTGGCCATGCTGGTGGAGGCTAATAGGAACTGTAGTCCAACAACATATAGAGGGGATCAGGTTGGCTACCCCGAGCTACTATGTCTCATGAAACTATGTAAATATCATTGTACAACATTCCAGTGCTGGGTACAGTAGACAGTAATGGAAAATAAAGCCTGTTCTTTCTGGAACAGAGGTTGTTTAAAAAAGTGAAGGATGTATGATCTCAGTGTTTAGTCCTTCAAATCCCATGTCAAATTCCGCAAGACAGTTACTGGTAAGTGGCTTGTGATTAATACAGCAGTCATCCTTAGCAATTTTTATTTCGTAACTTGAAGAAAATACTGAAATTATATGACAGGTTAGGAGACCTTTATTTTCAATATTACTGGTTTTGCTTCACTCACCATTACATGATCTATAATACTTTAGTCTTTCTGTCCCAGTCTAGGATGGTTGTAATAGGTCTGAGCCATTGCCTTAGGCTAGTGATAGATAATTAGAACAATACAGAAGTGTTCTTTGTAGTAAGGCCACTGACCTAATGACTGGGTGGTACTGTGACTTTATATGGTTGCATTTCCCTTAAAAAAACAGCTTCACAACTTTGGGGTGGTTTCTGATGCTCAAGAGGCAGCTGTCCACTAGCACATATTTTTCAGCTTTTGCTGGTGCATCAAATGCGCTAACTCCGGGAGCAGTCAAAGCTGGCCGACAGTCAGTTACATTTAGTTACATTAGTTATCATTAGTTACATTTAGACTGGACTACTGTAATTATGAGGGACGCGGGTGGCGCTGTGGGTTAAACCAGAGCCTAGGACTTGCTGATCAGAAAGTCGGCAGTTCGAATCCCCGTGATGGGGTGAGCTCTCGTTGCTGGGTCCCTGCTCCTGCCAACCTAGCAGTTCGAAAGCACGTCAAAGGGCAAGTAGATAAATAGGTACCGCTCCGGCGGGAAGGTAAACGGCGTTTCCGTGTGCTGCTCTGGCTCGCCAGAAGTGACTTAGTCATGCTGGCCACATGACCCGGAAGCTGTACGCCGGCTCCCTTGGCCAATAAAGCGAGATGAGCGCCACAACCCGAGTCGGTCACGACTGGACCTAATGATCAGGGGTCCCTTTACCTTTACCTTTACTGTAACTATGCCTTATGTAGAACTGCCACTGAAAATTGTTCAAAAAGTTCCACTAGTGACAAATGCTGTTGCTAAACTTTTGACTGGTGGTACATTTCAGGAGCTTCTCGCTCCTTTGCTATACTGGTTGCATTTGTTGTCAGTTCGCCTCAATGAGATTTAAATGCCGTAATGAATTAGGACCAAGTTACCTAGAAGCAAGGGAGAAGTGGGGCATGTACAATCTTAGCAGTGTGTACTAACATGCTGCTTATTCACAGTAAGCCATGGTTTGTTTCGGACTGTGTTTTACCATGATGGGTGAATGGGGCTGTGGACCTCACTGCATGAGAAGGTTAGGTTATCTTCTACTTTGCCAGTGTTCTATTGTCATTTAAATACTTTTATTGTCCAGTGTGCTTTTAATTATTTTTCTGCTTAAACATTTTTCCAGTTTTGGCTTCCTTGCTATTTATTAGTTCTGTAGAGTTTATTGCATTTTTATTGCATTTTAAAATTGTTTATATATTTTGCTAGTTGTTTTGGGGCATCTCCATGTTTGAGCTGAAAAGTGGGATACCAAACCCTAAATAGATAAACAAACAAACAGATTCCACTGTGTACATGGGGCTGAGTTCTTCCACTGATGAAAATCAGAAACCTGAGTGCTCATGAATACCAAATTCTTAATGCCTTATAAAGAAAGATTGTATCCCAGTTTAATCTAAGAACTGAGAAACCAAATAAAAAAAATGGATGATAAAATAAGGCCCAGAAGCTGCACCCAATGATTCTGCTTACTTCATTTTTTCGTACTACTTTATGCATGTGATTTTGAATTGCTCCCTACAATTATGTTTGGTAATTCTCCCACAGAAATATAAATATTTACAATTCTGGTGAAAGAACAAATGCAGAACACTGTATTTTCAGTAAATTACTAGTTTATTCTATAGTCCACATACCTCCTAATCAAATGATATTTTAGATTTTTGTTTTAGAGGAGGTAAGTATCTGGTTTATAAGTTAAGCATTATTGTTTTATATCTTAGATAAAAGTCAGATATAATCAACTGCATGGTTTCAAGGAGGAGCCAAGTTTTAAGAAGAGTATTATTTAGCTCATGTATGTATGCATGCTCAGAGACCAATACCCCAATGGCTTAGTCTTCATGCTGGTAAACAAAAAGGAAACGAAAATAGAAGTAACATAAACTCTTGGCTTTCAAGAATCATATAATTGTTAGCTTTTGCTTTTTAGACATCTTTTATAAAGCAATGGGTATTTTTTCCAGGCCACGCAAGCATAAAATACGAACAAGCACTCCATTAAATTACAATAATGCTACCCAAAAATGTTGTCCAAATACCAACATTATTTGATACTTCTGGGAAGGGAGTGGAAGAGGACATGACAAATACAGTTACAGTACACCAAGTGAACATTTCCTGCAACCAATGAATGACATAAACCAAGCCTATATACTGGAAACTTTTGATGACCTGCTCAGATAAGATTCACCCCATTTACTTGTTAATCAAAAGAACGGTGGTTCTAAGTAAAGGCAACTGAATGTTTCCGTGGGGCAGTGCCCCCAGACGGTACTCACGGGTACGCAGTACCAGCACCTCTTTTTGTTGTTGTTAAAAAGTGTGACACTTACTGTACAACTTCATGGTGAGTACCGGCACCTTTTATTCTAGAGACAAAGCACTGCCATGGGGGTTGCATTCTGGGTCAACACTCACATTGGTCAAACACACATAAGCCTGCTCCATCCCCATTCTTCCCTCTTTTGGGTCCAGAAAAGGACCCACATGTTGGCGGTCGCATATCAATTGGACATGTCTAAAATGGTCGCCACGTGTACTACTGCTTTGAGACCTAGATGGTGAGAAGTGGGATATAAAATTTAAAAAGAAAATAAATGACAGAGACACTAATCAAACTTCTTGATACTAATTGTGATGGTAGGACAAGCCAGAACCTACCTATCTGGAACATCCTCTATAAATCTGGTTGTTAAATTATGAAATTCTGCCAAAAAAAGACATGTTGCAACTCTTTGGTTTTCATTTTTCCTCCGACTTACAATAAAATTTATTGAGCGAGTTAGCCTTTCCTCCTTTGATATTTGGCCAATGGGGCTTCAATCTTCAATAAGCTTTCTTTTTATTTTTAAAAATGCAAGCTTATCTAAAAACTTTACTCTTCCCAAGGCTACTCTGTAATCCTCATAGCAGAACGCAATTTTCTATGGCCCAAATTCAAGATTGTATTCATTTCATCACAATGGTGCTCTACTAGTCATACACCTGTACTCTTACTACTGTTTCAGTAATTCCATGATGGCATTACACTTCTCACACTTGTAGATATATGGTTTACTTCTCCAGTCCGTTCTTCTTGCATTCATTGTATGACAGAAAATAGGGAACACAGGCATTTGATATCTTGTTTTCTGTTTACTGATATTTCAGTTTGTCCTATTATCAACACCAATATAACTTACCTTAGTACACTTAATATACAGTTGCAATCAAAATTATTCAACCCCCATTGCAAATCAGGTTTATTATCAAAATCAAACAAAAGCAATTGAAATAGCTCGACACAGTGGATGCTTCAAGTGGTTTCTCCATTTTTTTCTGTTTGCAAAAACTCTTGCACAAATATGTTGTGTTGCACAAACTACCTCTCAATATCTTTCCATGGATTACTAAAGATTATATACTACAACCTCTATCTTTCTTGGTCACCATTTTTCTCATACTGGAATGTAGCCCTCAATATATCAATCTTACAAGTTCCTACATGAGAGTTCATTACTACATTTTCTCCTTTTGTCCGTTCATGATTCTTTCTAAACCTCACTGTACATCTCACAAATCATGCCTGGCCTTCTTGCTGGAACTGCATGCAGTTAACTTCATGACTTCTATGTTTCTTATTGTTTAAAAATCACCAGAACAGCTTATGCTGTGAGAAAGGACTGACAACTAATGAATGAAGCACCAAATCAAAATGCTTGACTGATCCCAGAGAGCACTGAATCATGACCAGTACACAAGACAATCAAGAGCAAGCATAGCTTGCTTTCAGGAACATTTTCAAATTTCAAGTAGCTATATTTATCATCTGGGTGCAAAACTTTAGAAAAATGTATTGTGCGGTTGAGTGTACAGCATTTATTCTGGTTCTCTAACCCAACATACCAGCATATTTCAATACAATAGTCATCCGTCCAACACTTTAAAAAAAGCATTGAATTTACAGTGCAAACAGAAAAAAAAGTTACAGAGAATGAGCCAAAACTTCTGAACAAGGTTTAAGTATGCATTAATAAATAAAAGAGTAAAAAAGCTTCTGTGCAGTATTTGTGTTTATGTAAATGTTTATGTTAATTTTTTTTTTCTTTTGACATCTGGTAAAAGATCAAAAAATAACTACAGATATGAAATAATGGATTTTCCATAGTCAAGCAACATAAACAATGTACAGCTTTTTAAAATAAGCCAGACTGAACTAAAGTCAAAACATATCACTAGAAAATTATGTCATATTAAATCATCTTGGCCCAATTCAAAAATGAGAATTTGTATTTTCAGGAGCTAGTATCATCAAAAAACAATGGGGTAAAATCAGTGGAAAATGTATTGCAGGATGTTCATATGGAAATATCATTTTAAAAATGTAATGCAAATGTTATATGAGTATTTAAAGAAAATGGATGAAAAGATACTTGAGATTTTAAAATGTGTGTACTAGTGCTAATCATATTGCAATAGGACAGGAACCCCAAATATGGCTGCTATTTATAGACACTAACTGACATATTACTATTGCATAATCTAATGGCATTTTTATGTTACACAAAAGTCCAGTTGGAGCATACTCTGCCATAATGTCAACTATTTTAAAGCAGTGCTATTATTCTGAATTGATCTGCTAGGAAACTGCATTTTGATTAGTTTATGTTGATTTAACTAGAATCAGCTGTTGTAATAAGTTTTTTTAATACAAAAAAATAGGCTTAATATACACAAGGTTTGCTCACTATTATTAGTCTGATTACTGCTTTACTCAAGATATGTAACTTCTCTGCTAAGCCCTAAAAATCATTCAAATTATGGAAGAGACACTTGTTATCTGATTATTTTCCCCAAATGTGACCTCTGTTACTCTACTATAGTAATGTCTGCTGAGATGATTACCCACTGGGCCAATTGTTGCAGGATCTGCCAATAATACCAGTGTGTTGTTGTGACCTGATGGAGGTGAATTGGCCATGGCTGGAAGAATTAACTGTGGCAACTGGGAACAGACAAGAAAACTCATGAGATCTCAGAATCTTATACTGTATTTGAGTGGAAATAAAGAAAGACTGAAAAGTAAAGGACTCACTATGCAGCTCCCAAAGCAGGGCTTGCCTTAGGAAGGAGGATGAGGATCACAAGTGCAGCTAAATCTTGTCACTTACTATGACAGATGGCCCAGGTAAAGTGAAGTTTGATGGTACAATATGGGCAAAACTCTACCAGAGTGATATAGCTCTCAGTATGATGAGCTAGAGCTTCACTCTGATTGGCTGTGGGTACGGCTAGCCAGAAAGGGGTAGAGACAACACTTTGAGAGGGAAAGGGAAAGAGAGGTTTGGTTCCTGGCATTGGACTTCATAACAGCATAATCTCTGAGCTGTATAAAATCCTCCCTGAGGGAATATTTGCAGCCAGAGAAGTCAGACTCTGAGCAGAGAGTTAGCTTGAAAGATAGTGTTTATTATCTTTCAAGGCTATACAGACACGTGAGAACTGAGAAGCTCAATTTTGGGAGCAGAGAAGTGGAGTTGTGAGGGAATACTCTATGTCAGTGGTTCCCAACTAGCTAATTACTGAGGACCCCCTATTTTTCAAAAGCCAAGCCACAGACCCCCTACTTTTGAAAATTTTGATCACTCTATGGTAGTTACCTGTGCAAAGCAATTTTTTGAAAAAAATGTGCGGTAGCCCCTAATAGGCAAAGGATTTTAGATACACTAAAAAACAGACCATAAAAGTTGTGATATTACCACAAATTGCCTATCCCCAGACAGTAGTAAAAACTTGTCTCCATTGCTCCACTACAACTGAATTAAAAAAGCAATTGTGTCCCTAACTTGTAAGTGTTCTATATGCAGAAGGCTTTTTATATGAGAGAGTATTCCTTATTGAGATGGTACATCTTAGCAAAACTAAGGGCCAGGCTTAGATTTTGCATAGTTGCGCTTTTGTTTTTGTTTGTTTTTTAAATAAAGGTGCACTCTGCATCTATTCTGGGTCTGAGTCATATACCCAAGAGACAACATTTCTGAGGTAGGACAATATATTGAACTAAGCCAAAGAACTACACACACTACCACAAGGCTAGCTCAATTGCTTCAGGCTTTCTGGTTCCCCAGTATTGGTGGTAAAAATCTGCCTCAAGCAGGAAGAAAGGTGCAGGTTCAGATTCACCTACTTTTCTGCATCCTGGGATGGGAAAATTACCGTATTTTTCGCTCTATAAGACGCACCAGGCCACAAGACGCACCTAGTTTTTGGAGGAGGAGAACAAGAAAAAAAATATTCTGAATCTCAGAAGCCAGAACAGCAAGAGGGATCGCTGCGCAGTGAAATCAGCAATCCCTCTTGCTGTTCTGGCTTCTGGGATAGCTGCACAGCCTGCATTCACTCCATAAGACGCACACACATTTCCCCTTACTTTTTAGGAGGGAAAAAGTGAGTCTTATAGAGCAAAAAATACGGTACATAAATTCATGGAGATTATGGCTATCAATGGCTAGCTGTCATGATGGACTACCTCAGTCCATCATGGAGCATGGAGCATCAGTGTCTCTCTTTTTTTTACTATCAATGCTCTGTTATGTTACCGTTTATGTTATCTAACTATGGATAATGCTATGTCATTCTAAGATGCTATTAAAGTGCAGAGAAGTCTTACTTTAAGACACACCTGTACAAATTACCCTGCTGTTAAATTTTCTAGTGAGTAGATTGTCCCCATAAAAGGAACTTTCCCAGTAAACTCATTGGGACAGCCACATGGAATTATCTTCCTTGAAAGGCTCAGCATGCATTCTACTCTTGCTTGGTGTGCTTGGTGTTCCCCTGAGCATCTTGAATGGATTCTTGACTATTTCTCGGAACATAACATAACATAACATATGCCCTGTTGTATCAGTTCAAGGTCCTTTTAATCCCATGGCTAATCAGATGCCATTGGGAAGCACATAACGAATCTCCATTCTTTTCAACTTGGAGAATAGGGATCATGTATGGGAGAGGGTTGTTGTATCCATTCCCTGCTTATGAGTTATGAGAGAGGGAAAAGACCTCTCCCTGCTGTTTCATAATGTCCTTTTTGAAGTTCAAGTTATAAAAGATATTTGTTATGTGGCATGGGAAATTACTATTTTAGAAACATAAGCTGAAGTTCCTTTGAGTGTTTGGACTTTGTTGACCAGTTTGTAGGATCTTGAGCAGCGTGTTTCCAACCAATCTGCTGGAGCATACTGAAAAATCATAGTATGCTGGTCTCTTCAAAGAATCCAGTTCAGTTGGATGTCCTACTTCTTTTATGCTGACTAAGAATGTGTGTGTAAATGGAGTGGTGGTCTTTTCCTCTCTCTGCCCAGTAATCATTAAGTGAGGTAAGTGGCTGTATTTGGTGCAAAACTTTAACTAGATGCATTTTGGGAGAAGGGTGTGTCAGCAAACTCACTATGCACCCCAGTGGGCACCTTGCTTGAGAGCCACTGCCATAGCTCTCTCTCTATATGATCATCCTGAACCCAATACATAGCTGTTTATTTAAATACCTCTGCCTTCAGCTCTAATGATATCCCCTTAAATATAACCAAGATAGAATAATTCATTTACTGTTAGGTTGCCCTGGGTAGAAAGATGGAGAAGTCTTCATTCATGTAAGAAATGGCACACTGCAGAAATTTTATGAGGTGTGTACTTGCACATCAGAAATGGACTTGAATGAACCATATGGGGCTTGCACTGGCTTTGTGCCATGCATTATTAAGCTTCAAATTTAACCACATCTTCTGCTTAGACGTCTAGAATTAAGCTAGAAGTTTTGGCTGTGATACAAGCAGTGATGAAAAACACATGAGTAGTAACAAGTTTTCTTAACATCATTCTTCAGTGCTCAGATAGACTAATCTACAGAAGCAGTTTATTCAAGTATCACCCAGAGTGCCAGAAGGAACGGGAACTTTAAAGCGATTTTTTTTAAACCCTTTTATTATTTATTGTTCATTTTACAGGCTTGAATCTGAGTTCTATATAGTAAGGAACTTGATATAAACTTCTCAGGTGGATTTTTATCTTTAGAAGAATTTGACAAACCAGAAAGGTATGTTTTAGTTTTGGGTTGTTGTTTTTTTTTAAAAAAAAACTTTTCTCATTGTAACTTAACAATGTGCTTTTATCATTACTAATGTAAGCTAATTGACTACTGTTCAGTATTTTAAAGGATATATTAGATGATTGCACACTGTAGTAGAAATGCTTTTATATTGTGAACTGTATGAAGAAAGGAAAACAGGAAACCTGTACCTTTTGAACTGGTCTACCATAGCACAGTTATATTTATCTAGGAGAGAAAAAATAGCATCCTATATAGTTTTATAGACATTTAATGATATTTTTTAAATTTAGCAATGTTTCCAGGCATTCAGAATCTGATATTTACCAAAAAAGCAAAACAAACTGGAAGAAACTCACTGCCAAATAATTGTTTACAAAAACATGGAAGCAGTATAAAGTGCCTCTTCTTTGATGTTTTGAACAGATGAACATAGTTAATTCCCCTCCAAGACATAGCAAGTCTCTGCATTTAAAAAATGTTTGACTTCCAATATTATACAGTAAACATTTCTGCAATGTTTCACCTTTATGCTGTAGATATTATAAACACAAAAGAGCTTTAAATGAATCAATTTATCTGGGAGAATGTATGAAAGGTTAGTAGATGCTAAGTTTATAACTAACTCACTGCTCAGGATTCCTCTTTTCCTTCCATGGTTTCTGTTTTTGTGCAGAGCAATGACTGGGGGTTACTAGCAAACACAAGAATTTCCCATGGCTCTTCACAAAAAAACAACAACATTTTCTTGCTACTGATTTACATTATTTAGAGACAAGGTTGTGTGAGCACCCTGCTCTAGACAATGGAAATTTTTAGCACTTTTAAAATCTGCCTTTTAACCATTTAGAATACACTCCAGTGTCAGCTCTGTCATGAAAACAAGTACCAAATATTATAATATTATGCAACTGGCATTTTGCCACTAGACAACTAAATGGTGTTCACTGTAGGTTTGCATACAATAATTGTTTTTACACTCTGTTCTATAATTGGTTATTTTAATATAATTGAGATGCTTTCCATCCTAGTACTTTTTATTATTTTGACTGTACCTTAAATTTTGCATAATTGCACATGAGTTACCTACTAATATCCTGACAGACAGCATTTAAAAAATACTATATAAGGAAGAGCACTGACTGCTGCACCAAGTATTAATGTGGAAAAAGCACCTGTGTTCTAATCCTAATCTATTGAGTAATTTTATTTATAAATATTAATACTTGGTGTGGCACCCTACCATTTATGCAGAAAGAAATATATCAGAAAGTTTAGGGTATTGACTTGATAGTAAGGCTGCTATCTTGTGAAAGTCACTTAGGCTGCAATCCTATCAGTACTTGCCTACAAGCAAGTTCCACATCTACTTCTTAGCATAGAATCGTGCTCTCTGTTTCTCAGATTTTCCACATATAAAAGTTAATTTGTCTTGATAAAGGGGCCATTGTGGTTTTTCTTTGTACATGTAAACCTGTAGCTTTAGTTTTTAACTGTATACATACATTGTTAAAGCAAGAGCAAATCAAGAGTATTATTTGGCAAAAGTCAGACAGAAAACATATTCCGACTACTTTTTATGTTCCATATATACTTGAAGTACATATCCCCAATGTCTCAAATCAATCTAACTCAACTTTCTGATGTAAAGTTAATTATTGAAGTTACAACATACTTCTGGCCAAATTGGCAGCATGAAACAATGTTTCCCTACCTTCTCTAAAATAATGATTTCCTGTGCCAAAATAAAATACTTAGGAAGTTTTTCCCATAAGACCAGGGGCTTAGTTAGGACTTTTCCTACTGTTAAGACAGTATGTCAACAGCACAGTTTAACAGCATGCAAAAGCTCTGAGGTCAGTGTATTTTTTCCTATTACAGATGTTGAGAAAGTAGTTAGGTTTCAGTGTTATTTCATTTACCAATCACTTGGTTCAAAGGAATGCCATTTTTTTTGCATTTCCACCAGCCATTCAGGATTGGTGTTTGGAGTTTGTCATACTGTTAGGGTCAGAATACATATTATAATTCACATTTAGCTTTTAGACCATAATACATTTTTATATATTTTAAGTATATACCTAAAAAGGTAAATGCTGATTTACTCATTGGGAATTGTGTCTGGCTGTAGTTTCTTGTTGAGTGTGCACTCAGTGGCAGAGCTGAGTTTGCATCTTCATTATATGTGAAATTACTCTAAGTGAAATGGGAAGAAATTATTGCCTTGAGGAGAAAACTGAACAATAGTAACAGAGGCCACAGAGTTTTATTAGCAAGGTAGGAGAGATTTCCTTAATTTCATGTATGGACAGAAGTTTCCTTCACACAGCATACATATGGAGGGAACTCCATATAATAATAAAGTAGCAGTGCTGCTGTCCCTGCCCCCAGCATCAGGCGCTGAATGTTTTCTGGTTAAAACTTTGTGTATCCTCAAGTATGGGGACCTTTTCAGACAATCTGGCCACAGCAATGAAAGCACATAGTCTGTTTATTTAATTGCTTGCGCTTCTTATCTGTGCAACTATGAACGAAACAGTAAGAAGAAAGTCATACAGGCCAACAGATTTGTTTTAAACATTATTGAAAGCTGCTCTGTTTTGCTGTGAGGGTGCCTAAGTATATAGAATGGAACAGAATAGTTCCTTCAGAGAGGGAGGGATGAGAAATGTATCCACGGATTCATTATAAAAATCACTTAATAAAGTTGTATCCAACTAAATAAACTTTGGGAATGAAGGCTAGGTTGCAATTAATGTGCCAGCCTTTAAAAAGCCACAATATTCTTTGTTGCTATGCTATGCATATGGAATAATAAGAGTGTCATTTCCTTGAATGAGTTAATTCCAAAATTCCAAAGAATGAGAGTGTAATTGTGTACACACCCTCAGAGGGGCAAGTGGAAGCAGTTCATGGAGAAGTATGAGAGTTTCGGTAGTTCATAAAGTTCCCTTCCCTTGTTGATTTCACTTCACTGATTCAGCAAGAGCCCTGGACTTCTTAAGACAATTTAATACAATACTGCCAAGTAACAATACACTAGTTTTAATCTTCATGCACTATATAACGGCTGCAAATCTCAAATAATTCTACACCTCACAGTGTCATATTGGCCTTGTTCTCATGTAATATTAAGACAAACTATGGCACACAAGTATGAGCAACCCAGGGTTAAAAATGCAGCTGTGTTGCTCCTGCCACAGTCATGCTGGTGCTGTGCTATCTGGAGCTAAGTCATGGCTACCCTGAGGTAAGCCATAACGCAGCTCACAATTTGCCTACCACAAACAAGCCATAAGCAATAAATAAGAACAAACATTGGTTGTAGCAAGACAAGCCACAAACCTGGGTTTGTCTGTAATGTATAGCCCTAGATAGAATGATAGCTGCAGGACCAGGGAGGAGCAAAGTGGCTTCAGTTTTTGTTCTGGATAACTGAACACTTGTTTGTTCTTGCTAAACCAAAGTTTGGCAAGTTGGTACATTGGATATTAAGGTGCAAATAATGCAACACAATACAGTCAATACCCCCTGTCCAAGGAGTTGTTCCTGAGAACTAGGAATGAAATCTGAGCCACTTTATGTACACATTGGCTGAAACTCTCTAAAGCCATTAGGGCAAACTCAAAGTCTTTGTAGTATTTCTTTTCAAACCCAGGCTATGAGGCCATGAGTTCATCAAAGCATCTAAATGGGCCCCATTAAAGAAAACTTACATCCTGGGGAAATTCATTTTTATGGGCTGCAACAGGGAAACACTTCATATTGGAAGTACAAACTTCTAAGAAGAAGTTCCAGACAACAGCATACAAAGAAAGGAAATGCATAAACAAATTACAAACTAGCTTGTATTTTTTACTAGGAGTGTGTTCTCTGAAGATATGAGAGAATATGTGCTTCTCCTCCTCTTGGCTTTGTGCTCTGCTAAGCCTTTTATAAGCCCTTCATACTTCACCTTCAAGAACATGATGCTCATGGATATGGAAGACCTTGATGACGACGACGATGATGACGACAAAGATGACGATGACAAAGATGATGACAATTCTCTTTTTCCAACTAGGGCACCCATAATACCCTTTGATTTATTTCCTGTATGTCCCTTTGGATGTCAATGCTACTTGAGAGTTGTACACTGTTCAGATTTGGGTAAGAATAAATCTGTACTTTATTTTCATTGGATCTATGTTGTTTATTTGTAATACCCACACACTTTTTTGAAATGGCACAATCTGGAGGTGGTAATAGTTTTTTCTCTAGAGCCTATGAACTCTAAGAGTATTTCCCAGAAATAGAGTTCAATAAAAGTCTATTCAGTAAATTAATATGTTAACCAGAATTATTTCAACAGCTGCCATCACCAAGGTATTAGGGTTATTTGGACACCTCAAAAATAAACACAAGCCTAGGGAAAGAACTGCTTTGCTATCTGTTACTTTCTTGTGTATCTCTAGCATAGCTTTAGATTAATCTTATGCCTAATTAGATATAAAGTCATTTTAAAAAAGCATAACCATGCCACCAGAGCAGTCTTTTTGTAAGAGTTCAGTAGAATCTCATCTGTTCAATTTATCGGATGCTACCTTGCCCATGTTGAACTCTCTGATAAACTGAAACCTGATTCCAGGTTTCTAAATATAGCTTCATCTGTTACTCAAACAAAGGAGAAGGGGGCACAATCAGCATTAGATTTTATTGATAGTTGGTAGGGGTGATAGCCAACCAATTCATATTTAGAGTAGACCCAGCAATATCAATGGGTCTACTATGAGTAACATTGGCTATACCCAAAAGTTGGAATTAATGGTTACAAAACATTTTAAATTATTGCAAAACTGAAACAAACATTTCAGCATAATACAAACAAATGGAGATTAAAGGGTCTTTTGTCTGTAGATGAATATTTATTTTTTATTTCTAATTAATAGGTTTGACCTCAATACCAAAGAATATTCCCTTTGATACTCGCATGATAGACCTTCAAAATAACAAAATAAAAGAGGTCAAGGAGAATGATCTTAAAGGACTCACATCACTACATGTAAGTCTGCTTTCTAGCATTCCTAGTATTTGTCTCTATCAAGGACTATGGCAATCTATCTTATGTCAAGTTGATGTTTTCTACCCTGACAGCCATTAACATAAAATGTATGGAAAGCAAAGTGAGAAAAGATCAATAACACTTATGGAAAAAGTCAGTTACAGTGGTACCTCTGGCTAAGAACTTAATTCGTTCTGGAGGTCCATTCTTAACCTGAAACTGTTCTTAACCTGAAGCACCACTTTAGCTAATGGGGCCTCCTGCTGCTGCTGCGCCGCCGCCACGCAATTTCTGTTCTCATCCTGAAGCAAAGTGCTATTTCTGGGTTAGTAGGTACAGTACTATTTCTGGGTTAGCAGAGTCTGTAACCTGAAGCGTATGTAACCTGAAACGTCTGTAACCCGAGGTACCACTGTATTTGTTATCTAAAGCACAGAAAAAACCACTTTCCATACACAAAGTTGATCAATATTCCTGGTTTATTGTTTACCTAAACTACAGACAACCTTCAGTTCACCATTAACTGACAGATCTTGGGCTGAATTCACCCCTAATGAGTCCTGCCGTAGAAGCCTGTGCAAGAACTTTCACTAGTGCAATGGGGCTTATGCTCTCTTCTCCCACTATGTGCCCCTTAAATTGGCTCAGGGTATGTGTGTGTATGTCAGGAGAACTCCCAGAATAAAGGGGAAGGAGAGAGGGGATCGTTCTGCCTGGCAAGCTGAAATTGTTGCACTGACGGAAAGACTGCTGTAGCTCATGTTGAATTCCTCCCCTTATGTCAGAGTGCAGATGTCTTCATATGCCGAAGTAAAGAAAATCTCATACATTTTTTGTATAAACTTTCCCGCGTCTTGGATTCCGGCTGAATGGCCAGTTGAACGCCTAACTAACAGAAAGTTCTTGGCCATATAAGAAATACATTTTGTTTAGCCTAGCACTTGAATTATAAATAAATTGAGTACAGTCTTTTAAGACAAATAAACATTTCATAGCTTAATGTAAAATCCTGTTGTTTACTGACAACCAGTAGCAAAATATTGTGCCTAGCCAACATACAGCCTTCTGTTTAAATCAAACTAGCACACATGTTTTTTGAAATCTCACTGAATAGGACTGGGAAACTTTTTCCAGCCTAAGGGCTATATTCCTTATTGAGCAAATGCTAGACACATGTCAGCGATGGACATGTTTTACAAAGCCCTCTTGCAATTGTGATTATTGTTTCAAATGTCTAAGATTGGTACTGGAATCAGGAAACTAAATGGGGGAAAAACACATTTTTAGGGTGGCAATTCTGCCAGACCAAGAGAGGTCTGTCCCTAAGCACAGATTTCAGCATTCAATTCTCTAGGAAAAGGGTCAAAGTTCCTCTTCCTCAGCTGCCTCAAGTTCTTGGGAATAGGCATGCCAAGGTACCTTAGGTCACCTGACTGAAGTTTCAGCCACGTGATGTTCTAAAGTCTTACCTGATGCTCAAGGGGGAGAGCATACACAAAGTTCTGATTCAGGTTAGTTAATGTCCAGTTCTGCTGGAATTTACTTAGAAGTTGTGATTTTTCTATCACCACTGCAAAAAAGGAAGGGGGACAGTAGACACCATCTTTGGTCCCCCTGCTTTGAATGAGACTAAGCCATTCACGCAAACTTGCGTTTGAGAGGGAGAGTAACACTGGGAGTAGAGCAAGGACATGATGTGCATGAAGTTTGATATAGAATTTGCTTTGGTGGCAAATGAATTGCCATTCCACCCTGTCAAAAAATTTATAAACACCAAGTGACAACAGAGCTACATGGCATTTAATGCTACCATTGTGGTGTATAGCATTCAGTGTTCTAATTACAGGATCTGCCAGCTAATTGGTAAGAGCTGCACAGTGAGATAGACACTGTGGTGTCATAGTTCAGGAGGGCTGTTGGGTGGTACAGATCCAGAGACACTGGATCCTTTCCCATTTTAAGTACCACAATCAATATGGACCATAACCAGGATTCTGGGAAAGCACTGCCCTGCATAATTTCACTAAGCAGCATCAGCAGTTGTGGGACCGTTCCAAAATATCTTGCAAAATTCAGCTCTAAAGCTATCCATGGCATAAGACTTCTGTCACAATCACACACAGTTGGGATACAGCTTACGTTTTGACAGTACATCTAAGTGAAACTAAATGTTAATTCTTATTTCCCATTCTTAAGACCTGACTGATTTCACTCCCTCTTGTTACTTGTTACTTCTTCAAATCTAAACACACACACACACACACACACGTACGTTTCATTTTGTAGCTTTCTGACGCTTAGATGGTGTTTTTGAATTCAAATGTGCAAAATACATATATGCAGTTTTAAAAAATATGACATCTTCTGAATGTGAGACGTAAAATAAAATAAATATTATAACTTCACCTTTTCACATTTTGCCTAGGCACTTGCACTGAACAACAACAAAATAACCAAGATCCACCCCAAAGCCTTTCAATCAACAAAAAAGTTGCGGCGCCTCTACTTGTCCCATAATAACTTAACTGAGATTCCAGCAAATCTGCCAAAGAGTTTAGCTGAGATAAGAATTCATGATAATAAAGTGAAAAAGATACACAAAGAAGCATTTAAAGGAATGAAGGCTTTACATGTGTTAGGTAAGTGTGTTTTTTATAAATCAAGCTGTTGCATAACACCAGGGGGGAAGCAAACTACAGTACAGTATTATTTCATTCATCAGCAATGTGATAGAAATCAGGGATTAAATGAACCCTAGATGAAAGGAAGGCTCAGAAACAGAGCTGAGACAGAGCTGTCTGCATCCAAATGCAGCCATGGGGTTTCTGCTGAACAAATGGTTCCCAATAGTAGATTATTTTTTCTTAGCCCAAGCTTTGTAGGTAGAATTCAGATTCCTTTTTGGCTGCCTGTTATTTTCTACTCTACCCAGCAAATGCAAACAGAATGGTTGCTTTATAGGGCAGAGAAAAAAACAAACCATCACCTGCACATGGGAGTGAATTGTGTGGGAATGATTTCTTGTCTGGCTACAGTTCACACAGAAACAAGGCAGGCAGCCCAAGTTACTGCATGGTTCTCTCATACATCCCTACCCCATCTGAGCAAACTGTGTGCATTTGTGTGTATTAGACTTTGTCCCAGCTGGTTGAGTTTTTCCAACTACGCTCTCCTGCTCTGTGTTACATGCCTAAGTGGTCAAACTCTCATCTGCACCAGGATGACAAATACTGAGATCATATTCCTAAGTGTGGGTGCTCCTAAGTTTCAGATGACTAGTTTGTTTTTATTCTTTAAATAAGATGTTTTAGAGGGGTGATTCACTTTGGGCAAGTAAGGTCAAGAAAAGTGTCTTGCCAGGTTACTTAAACATTTTAGAAATACAACAAACTGAATGTAAGGGGATAATACAACTGCATTCCACCCTCACTGTGGAAGATTCTGCCATTTCCCAATAGAACAAACTAAGGAACTGATATATTGCATTGTTTTCTTGTAAGAATGTTTGAGGAAAGGTTTGTCAGGTAAAATAAAAAGTGTGGATTTCACCCTGGCACCCTATCTCCTCCATCCCTTAAAAAAAAATTAAATCCAGGAAAGTGCCCTTCCTTATCACAGTCATATGGAGATAGGTTCTGTTTACTCCATGATGGGAGGCACACTGTACATAATCAAACATTATTTTATTTATTACATTTATATACCACTTTTATCTTCCAAGGATCTCCACAAGCATGCGTAAGGGCAAACAACTGGTATTCAGATGCATGCTACTGCCTAAGGGGATTGCAGCTTAAGGCTACAAAAGCAGACTGAAGGTGCAAATTTACATGCCTATGCAGAAGTTTCAAAGAGTAAGATAGCATATGTCATGATCTTGAGGAGAGACAGCAGGGAGTATAGTATAAAGGACATTGACTACTCGAATTAGGAAGAAAAGTAAACTGAATCCTGAGAGTGAGGTACATTTCTATTGGACACTTTTCTGCCCCAACACTAGGTTGCGTTGCATAACTCATCACAATGAACTTCACCAACAACAGAATTAGTGAACAGACTTACATGTCTATTCCAAGTTCCAAGGAGTAAGATAGCATATAGTCATCAAGCCTAGCAGCCAATGACAACCTTACTCTCCTTGAATTTGGCCAATCCTTTAAAGCCATGTAAGTTGGTCGGTATCACATCTTGTGGTAATTAATTATTTCCATCTTTGATAAATGTTTGCTTTATGAAAGGTTGACTGAAGTTTTTGAAAGAATTGTATGCAACTAGGAGCAAGTGTTCCCTGACATTTTAGAAGCTTTGATGTGCATTGCTTTGGTTTTTGGTTGTATTCTCCTTAAAAACAATGCACGACTTCAAGAATTCCTGCCATGTTACACGGCTTAATTTCTAAGCAAGAAACATTGGAGCTCAACTTTGTCTGGGAGTCATGCCTTCACATGGAAGCCACTACCCATACCTATGAGTATGAAGAGAACATTTATATTTCTGAATGGAGGAAATCGTGCTACACATGTTTAAAGACATTCTTTCATTTCTTAATGCTGTAAAAGCCTCAACCAAGGAAAGGTGTCTTAAAAACTACAGCCTCACAAGCCACAACTGTTATTCTTTTGGCAGAGATGAGCGCAAATCCTATTGATAATGAAGGAATAGAACCTGGGGCCTTTGAAGGTGTGACAGTCTATCATATAAGAATTGCAGAAGCTAAATTAAACTCTGTTCCTAAAGGTATGATCTTTTTTATTATATAAATCAGGTTTTTTATCTTACATTTTCTCATGTACATTGCTTTCTAATTTTGAGTTTGGTATTATGCTGATTGAATTAAAAATAATGGTGGTGATATACTTTTTAATTACAATGCATAATAAACATCAGAAGCCTATGGACACACCAAGGATCACCCATAGAACGGCCAAAATATGCAGATACCTGGGCAGATAGCAAAAAACTTGGAAGCACATATTTAAAGGATATACCGTAGATTCCGGTGTATAAGGCGACTTTTGAACCCCAGAAAATCTTCTCCAAAGTCGGGGGTCGTCTTATACGCCAGGTATGGGTGGCACGGAGCTGAGCCCGCCCCCCCCCCCCCGCTGCTGTGGCGGTGGCTCCGAAGCAGCAGCAGCGGACGGCAGACTCAGCTCCGTGCCGGGCAGCTTTCTCCCTGAGTGCGCCCCTGTTGCTGCTTCTGAAGCAGCAGCAGCGAGCAGGAGGCTGAGCTCCATGCCGGGTGGCTTTCTCCTGGCACGGAGCTGAGCCCGCCCCCTGTTGCTGCCCAGTGTATTGGGCAACTGGGCTTATAAGACGAACCCTCAAATTGCAGCTGCCAATTTGGGAGGTCGCCTAATACGCCGGAATCTACGGTACATTTTTTTCTTAAGTGCCTTAAAATTCTGAGAAATCCCAGAAGTAGGTGTTTCCTGAGGGTCACTACTGTAGCTACTCTAATGACTATCTACCTAGGAAACCTGATCATTTGGAAATACAGATGAACTGATAATACATTATCTCCTTTCATGACTCAGGTTCATAGAGGTGTCACTGCACAGTGGCAGAGGGTAAAGCTGTAGAGTATCCAAGTCCTAGACAGAGGACTTGTCTGTCTTGTTGGACAAGCAACAGCAAATAGCTGTTATCTTGGGATCAAAACCTGGGGCAATGTATTATGGGAACTGGGGGCAAGACTAAGGCAAAACTAAGGCTAACCGGCAGGCAATCTGAAACATTGCTCCAGTGCTTGTTTGAAGCCAGCTGACAACTGAAATACTCTTTTAGAATGGTACATGTTGTTGAAGGCCATCCTGGCAGTCAGTCTTATTAAAGAGCCAGAATTCTCCTTTTGAAGTGTACACTGACTCTAGGATTAGCACAGTGGTGAAGGCATGATGCCCAGAGCTGGGCCACCTTCCAGGAAGAAGTAATCAATATTCTCAGGAGAAGTCAATGAGGAAGTATGGTCTGTTTATGTTATTCTTCCTCTTTAAGCAAGGAAGAAACCTCAGCAACCGCTTCTTGAGATGGTCTAGGGAGAAAACCTCCCACCTTTCCCAGGGTCCTGATGTCCCAGGAGTTCTCTTTTGCTGTTGAGATATCTAGTAATGAGCCAGGGATACATACTCACTATGTAGTCACTAAAGAGGCAAACTTCTCTGGCATTATTATGACAACTTGAAGGAATTCATAGAACTCTACAGAAAATAATTTCCTAAACTAGTTATAACAACTTAGTGAGGGTAGAGAACTACTAGCTCCTTGTACCATTTTCGGGAAATATTTGCCTTCTAAATAAAAACTCCTGGGGAAAGCAAGACATCCTTTCATGACATGCCATGAAACACAGGAAATCAGCCTGAATTGAAATCCTCTTTGCTTCCCAGTTCCTGAATGAACACAAGTAACCGCACAACTTATGCATGTTTACCCCAAAGTAAGTCCCATTGAGTTTAGCAATGTTTACTCCCAGTTACTAACTGTAGGCTTGCAGCCTTAGGTGATCCTAAACCCACCTGACTTTTTGTTGACTAAACTCAGGGTCACAATGCAAGAAAATGTTAATGAGAAAACATTAATTCTCCCTTCTGAGTAAAAATTAACATTGGCAGGCAAACAAGTGTGAACAAACATTTTTGTTTAATTTACCAACAAATGACCAGAAAAAACATGAATACATACACTAGAAAAATATTAGCATGCTAAAAAAAGTAGGGAAAGAAAACTATTAGTTGGTATTTTCATACTAGTGTTGCCAGAAGTAATAGCACTGGAGATTTAATATTTTCCTAAGCCACTATGGAAATTAGAAGCATGCTTGAGGTCATGGTACTGCACAAAAAATGATAACTAAATATAATAAACAGAAAGCCCTTGGAATCTAGAAGTACTAAATGCCTTCCATCTCTAATTTTAAAGCACACCACAGAAACAGCTTTTGGCTATTCCCTGAATACAGAGGCCAACAGTTCTGAAGTATGGGTGGCTGCTTAGATTTAACTTGGAAAGCTATTCTGCAGATCAGCATGAAAAGAACACAACAAGGATACTATTATGCTTACAATTTCCATAGCCTATGCTATCATAATATCCTTGACAAATATAAAATTGCAGCTCCTACATCCTTTGGAAAAAATCCTACATGCGGTGATGATTATCACATATTTTTATTAGAAAAAAAAATGAACTTGCTCATCAGCTGCTGAGAAATTGCACACAATGTCTGTATCTGGTTTTGTCCATTTTAGGAAGTACTAGGGCAAACTCAAAAGTCTAGCAAAAGATACACAGTGAAATTATAACATTTGAAATATCACAAATATATGCAGGTCCACTATAACACTAGATGTTGTGTCCTTGCCACTTATGAATAAAGTGGGTTATGTGGTTATAAGGCACCACGGTGCACAATGCTGTCTGCAGTGTCATGCCTGTATGCATGTAAAGCCACTCATAGACATACTTTATAACCCTAGGACTAAGGAAACCCTATTCCTGCATCCCAGATTCTTCAAAATAGGATATGGTTTGAACAGATCTCAACAGGCAAGAATCAACATATAGGGAGATATATTTTCCATTTACCATGCTGGGTAACCTTAGGCTTGTCACTCTCATCCTAACGTACCTTCAGATTGCTGTTGTGATAAAGTAAGATAAATTAGAACTATGGATGCAATATTACTCATTTATTTGTTAATGTTAAATCAAAACTATTTGACAAAAAATTGTTGCCAATTAATTTGGTAGCTATTTTAAACAAATCATGTATGATTTTTAACACATAACCACGAGTGTTTTAGAGGACTCACACAGGACGAAGTGTCTCTTCTAAGATGCATGCCCACTGCTACACATGCAGGAATCATCTTTTTCTAAAGGAGTGTTTTTCTTCCAAAACTATTATTTTAGTGACTGGAAATACAGCAATCCTAACTGGGTGAAGTGATGGACACTTGCAAAGCCCTGCTGGCTTATGGTGGTTAGGTCAGGAGGTGAAAGAGTGCCTATTTTTATTTTCGTCTCCCAGCAGTTCCAAGACTGCCTCTGACCCTCTGTTTCAGAGTCTACCCCATCAAATCTTTCTGCTGATGTATATGTGACCTCCAGAGCATATTACACATACACACAAACACACACACACACACCAGCCATGTGGAGAAGTATGATTGCCCCATTTTACCCCTTCTAGCCAGCAGATCTAGGGGTTAGGATTGCTCTCTAAGTCACTTATTTTAATTAATTGACAGTATGCATTTCTACTTAGAAGTAAATCCCACTGTGTCCAAAACAGTCCATGGAAAATGTACACAGGATTGCTGTTCAACACTACAAGCCTATATATGCCTATTCAAAAGCAAGTCCCATGCAGTTCAATCACGTTTACTCCCGGATTATAGTTTTGCAGTCTAAAACTTAAGCAATAAATTGAACAAGATTTTTTTAAAAAACCACCCTAATAATAATTTGCCCTAGGTCTTTTATCTAATAGTAGGAAAGGGAATGACAGCATAGAAAAATTCCAGAAACTTATCGCAGAAATTTCTGCACAATATTATTTACAATAGTGAGACTTTTTCTATCAGTTGCATTAAAAATAACATCTTAATGCTAAAGGCAGAAGTCCTGCAAATGAAATAGAACAAACTATTTTCCTCAACACAATTAATACATTGCCTCTTGAAACTCTTTGTGTCCAGCTTAAACACTTAATGTGTGTCTCTCCCTAATAGGATTGCCTTCCAGTCTATTGGAACTTCATGTAGATGGCAACAAAATTTCTGCAATAGAACTCGAGGATTTTATTCGTTATAAAAACCTTCAAAGGTAACACTTAATATGGAAAATTCTTTCCAAACATTTGATATTATGTAAGCATTTTAGGATTTTCTCATTTTTAAAACTATGAGGAATGGTGCAGTGATTGAAACAACCAATATTTCCTAAAAAAAAAATAAGGGCACTTCAAGGTGGAACATTTCTCAAGTGATTCAGTGTACCTGGCATCTGATCAGTTATGTAGGAACTGGGCCAGTCCTTTTGTTCCTTCATGTGGCATTTAACATAGTCAAAAAGCTGGTGTCATGGTCCAAGCAACAGGTCACAGCAAGCTGTTAAATTTCCATGCAACACTTTAGCCATTTCAGCTTCTATATGGGCATTGCTTAAGGAAGCGTGGCTGTGTAATCCATTTGTTTCACTCAAATTAATTTAAACCTTGCTTTTTTTACTTCACTAAGATGTGGACAGTATTGTGATTATATTACAGTCTCTGAACTAAAGTGCCTTTATCTTGTAAGACTCACCACACATAAAGTCCTTAAGAGCTATTGCTAAGGGGAAAAAACAGCACTTACCATGAACTTGTTTTGCTGTTTAATTTAATTAAATTGAAAAATAAGAAGAGCAAATGGGAACTTGAGCCAAAGTATGGTGAGTAAAAGACAGCTTCAGCACAACTGAGAGAAAAAAGTAAGATTAAAGACCTGGTGAATAGTAGTTCTCATTATTTGTTTCACCAAGTAATTTCAGAAGACAGTGCCCAGTGCAACTGATTTTAGGAAGACAGGTTTACCTATCTTGAGAAAATAATAAAATAACGGGGAGGGTGTGTGAGGAAAACTCAGGACAATGGCTACAGTTCAGAGGGCTATACAGTACGTTCACAGAGTACAGAGACTGTTGTTTGAAAGAAAGAAGTCAAGAAACCTGTGTACATAACCAAGCCTTTCGATCTCAAACAGAATTGCCAGTTTAGGTTGCACATGAGGTCAGCTGGAGATTTGGATTACTTCCAGATGAGCATTGTTGCAAAAGAGAGAGCAGCTGGCTGAAAATAAGACATTGTTTGTTTGTCCAGGGAGCAGCATAAGGAAGGCAGGGTTGCTATAGAGAGGGAGGGGATGGAAGAAGCCTTAGAAAAACCCACTGACCTTTCAAAAAACTGGATGTCTTGATTTATCAGAATGATTAATTATTAGAACTCCTTCTGTTACAGGCATCAGATTAGACAGCCTATATATAATTCTACCTCTGTAATTAGCTCTTGCTTCAACTGAATATGAGATTTGAATCAGATGCTAAGTATAGACTCTTAACAGAATAAAGACTAATGATGAAAACTGAGAATGGTCAGTGTCCACTACAATGTTCTGAAACATACTTTTGTATACTTTCTCATTGGGTTTCTGTTTGCCGGAGGTATCAGCATCAAGGTACCACTTATTCTTTCTGGAAGACTTGAGTACAATAGCAAGTGCCCCACTTTTCTCTAAATTCTCTGTACACTGCACAGGATCGTGGGAAGGGTAGGTCACTGGCAACCAAATTATGGGTTTGGCTAGTAAGCCAAGACTTCTTAACCACTGTTTCTATATGTTCATTTCTCTATACAGTATGTTAAATGGTTTCTTAGTGTTATCCTCAACCATATTGTCTCAGGTACTCTTTTTTAACATTTATCTTTAGGTTGGGGCTAGGAAACAACAGAATCAAAGATGTGGAAAATGGCAGTTTTGCTAATATGCCAAATATACGAGAAATCCATCTAGAGAAGAATAAACTAAAAAAAGTGCCTTCTGGTTTTCCAGATCTGAAATATCTGCAGGTAATACACAATGCAGCAGACTTTTAAAATCTTATCCTCTTGACATTTTTGTCCTACTTATTCAGTGTATTGTCAATCTATACAATAAACGTTTTTTAAAAAATGTGTTGGATTCAGTTTTTAGCCCACAGATGGGGGCAGGAAAACCTAACTTCCTTGCTACCACCAGTGTTCAGAGTTCTCAGAAAATACTTCCCATGTGGCATGGGACCTTTAGAGGAGTGGACTAGAGTGCAGAACTTTCTGCTCTACACAAAAAAGGAGCCTATGCCCAAATTTCACTCTCCCTTCACCCCCCACTTAGCAGGGTCTTCTGACTCTCGGGGGGGATGCCATTTTCAGTGGGCTCTAGGGGCTGGCAGAGAGAAGGATGAGAACTTCACTTTCCACCTATCCCCAGCTGTGTACAGGTATCTGGATCCAGCCAAATATATTTTATGGTTTTTTATTTAAAAAACCGGTCAAGACATGGGTTTAATGTAAGTATGCACTCATGTGCAGCAATTACCAAAAGCTAAGAGTTAAGTCCCAGCGTAAATGCAATACCACCTGACTGCCTGACATGGATACATGATCAGGAACAGAAGTTTACAAACTCTTCCATTTTCCCCATCTCAAACTGGCATATCCGCCCCCTTTTAATTCCAAAACTATCACCACTGATACATCTGGACTTGTGTTTTCATTATCATAGTGACTCTGGCAACCCAATTTCCCCCAATTTTTACCTTTAGTCCTCAAAAAGCATATCTAAGAAGTATCAAAAATTAAACATTAAAAGTATATTGAATATTTTTCTATAAATCAATATAAACCTCACTTTCCCCTTTGAATTTTAGATGCAAATATCTAAGGCTGCAATCTATACACTTTTACCTAGGATTAGCATATATTTCAAATCTTCACATGCAATTTAATGTAGTCATGGGATATGTCAAATATTTATTTTTTCTTTCTGTCCTCTTACAGGTTGTCTTTCTTCATTCTAACAGTATTTCAAAAGTGGGAGTGAATGATTTTTGCCCAACAGGAGGAAGGCTGAAGAAGACGTTATATAGTGGCATAAGTTTATTCAGCAATCCTGTTAAATACTGGGATATCCAGCCTGGAACATTTCGCTGCATATTAAATAGAAACAGTGTGCAGATTGGAAATTATGGAAAATAAAGGTGTATATCCAAAACGTCATTCAAATTGCAATGTTAAAACCAGCAATATAATACTTGAAATCTGTTGAAGATGGACAACTTTATACTGTCCAATTGCTTTATAAAATACTAATGTAATATCCCATAAAATTCTAATCTTATGTTAAATTTACATATCTTCCAGAATAAAAGGCCTCCTGAACCCTAAACTGGAAACTTATCATTAGGTGTTTCCTATCATTGTTGTCTAAGCTATGTTTATAAACTATTTTTTTCTTAGCAGAAAATAATGCAAAATTTTGAAACATTTTTTTGATTAACCTATATTTTTTTCTGTATTGCAAACGTATCCTGTAAAGGTATTTATCAGATTTCAAGGGGGAATTGTGAACTTAAGTTAACAAAAGTAAACTAAACTGGCTAAGAAGAAATTTTAAAAGGTACTGTAGTATTAATTTGTTGGTAAAATACATCAGGTCAGGTTAGATAATATGTATATCTTTGTAGTAAGCTGAAAGGCAAGATTGATACCATACACTTACAAGCCTCAAAGCCTTTAGTATTTATTCATGTAGTTTCTCCCGAAAACTATATATTCTGTTGGTAACAAAGGTGTATGTATGCTAAATATTAACAATGTAGAAATCCTATAACTTTTTTTCTTTTTAAAGGAATGATAAAATTCTCTGCAGGCCAGTACAAATACACCATTGTTATATACTGTAAAAATAATTACTCAAGCTGGCAGTTTGGGACACAGTTAAAAGACCTGCAGTCATAGGGGCCTAGTACACTGTTGCAAAGGGATTTTTTTAAATGAATGGACAGGAATTCCAAACATGTGTAGCATACCAAACTTAGTTTACAGAGGAAAAAGGAGTAGCCCCTGTGTGCACAGAGCTGTGTGTGTACACCACAGCCACTGGATCACTGTCATTGTATGCTGACCTTGTATTCCATATTACATCTTGAGTACTGTAACTTTGCTGAATCCATATAATGCAAAATGTGTTTGATCATGATTGAATAACTAATGATGGGACTGTATAAAAGTGGCTATCTTGACTATAGATTTAATGTGCTGTTCATATAAACAGGAAGTTGAGAATTTAAAAATTCTAAATGGTGTCCATTAAAATGCTAGATTGAAACCTTTAATGTTGTCATGCTGTTTCCTATTCAGTTTAAGTAAAATAGTAATATTAAAAATATACTACTTATTGTAAACTTTGCAGCCTGATTCTTGGCATGTTTTATCCAAAAGCCTGACCAATAGATTTCAGTACGAGTTAATTTCTAGTATGAATGTCTAAGATTCCTATATTAGATTTTGAAATTTTACTGATTTCTCATAATCTTATTTATTTACTGTAGACTGTATCCAACTAAGAATAAAGCCACTGAAATCAATAGCCTTGATTAACTTAAATCTATTGTACAATTCATTCATATTAATACTTATATCTAGGCTTTTGGCCTATTACCAATATTTCTTCCAAGAGCAATTTTTATGATATGCTACTGTGGGACAGGTGGGGAAAAACGTTCCTTTCTGTGTACCTTCTTCACTTTATGTAGCAAATCCTGTGTGTGGTTTGCCTCCTTGCACTCATGGTGTTGTTACTCCCTTTACAATAATTTAAATATATGGCCCTTCCTATCAGTCTCATTGACAAGGAGAACAGGTGAGGTCCCTACAGACTGGAGGTGGGCAAATGTTGTCCTCATCTTCAAAGGGGGGGGGGAAGACCCAGGTAACTACTGACCAGTGAGCTTGACATGGATACCAGAGAAGGTCCTTGAACAGAAAATTCAACAGTTGATCTGTGAGCATCTAGAAAATGATGCTGTGATTACTAAGACCCAGCATGGGTTTCTCAAAAATAAGTCATGCCAAACAAATCTGATTTCTTTTTTTGATGGAATTACAAACTTGGTGGATCACAGAAATGCTGTGGACAAAGTGTATCTTGATTTCAGTAAGTCCCCCATGATATCCTTGTGAGGAAAGTGGCAAAATGTGGGTTGAACGAGAAGGGAATTTAAAATGGATTTTTCAGGTACACCAGAATGAGAAAAAAAATTACAACTGGGTCTAAGTTGGCACATGCTGAATGTTATTGGAATGCAGAAAGAACAAAGAATGCTCAGGGTTTGGTGTTTGTTTGTTTTTTACAATAGCATAAAACCACAGTTTGCAACTATGACTACAAGTAGGTTTGAACATTGTGTTCAGTAACTACTGTTACTGAAATTGCTTGTGCAAAATTAATGACAACCATACTTATCTCCAAAACTGCAATGGAGGGAGAGTGCCTGCACAAGAATAGCCATGTGCGCATGGGTGGGGCACCCATCTCCTAACTGTGGTCATATTGGTAAGTAGTATGTCTGCACTAAACTTGGGAAACTATGACTTCTACTTAATATCACCCATACTTATTATAAACAATTCAGGACAGAATTTTGTATCATTAATGACTCTGCTAGTTATTCTAGACAAAACAATTACACATCAGCATAAAAGGTATAAGAGGAATATATCAATGTCATTATATACAATGTGGACCCAGAAAACAAAACTAATTTTTGTGGTATCTCATCACCAAAGAGGGACAATGATTTTTGCCCCTCCCTCTTCACTTCCACTTGTACTCTGTCATCTGGTCCAACTAAGGAAATATACACATGGAAACACATTTTCCAATATACTTTAAAAGAACTGGGGGCGGGGGGAGGAAGAACTGTGCTCAGATAATACCTTAGGGTACAGGTTTTCCAAGGCCAATAACTCAATGTCCCACACAGTTTTCCTCCTTACAGTTTGTAAGGATATTTTAGTGTGGGGTGGGGAACTAGGCTCAGAAGAGGCATGTCAGGGGGGCTTCCTCCAAGGCTAGTCACCTCCACAAGTGTTTGAACTGCAGGATCACCCACTTCAAGGATGGGAAACCTTAGGCCTGGGGCTTAAAAGTAACCTCTCAGGACTCTCCCTTCAAGGCCCTGCTCTGAGTCCTACTCAAGTGCTTTTGGCTGGCTAGAATGTGTCCTTGAACTGTGATAATGCCTGTTTCTTTCGCAGATGGAGGATAGAGGTGTAGGTGGGTGGGTGGAAGACTCTAGTTTTTGCATGGCTGCAAGGTAGCCTGCTGCACAAAGGTAAGAGTCCACATTCATTGCTCTGTTCACTTCTTGCTCTGGCCCTACCCACTTTTTGTCTCTGACCCTGTCCAGAAATAGCCTTTATAGCATGCAGAAAGGTTGTCCATGAGGATGTGCAGTTCTCAAGTTGAAAAATGTTCTCCATCCCTAATTTAAGGGATCCTTTGATGTGAAGAAATTGAGTTTGGAGAATATGCACCTAAGGACCACTGAATCAAAAGAAACCAGTAACCAAGTGCTATTGTTCTTCTGCCTTGATGCAGCAAGTGCAGGCTTACACTTGCCTGCTTCTCTATTCTGTCAACCTAATAGCCAGAGTGTACCTTTACTGTGGAATCCCCAACCTTTTTCTCTGTTTTGATGTCCCACAATGTTTGCATGTGGGACAACCACTTACACATCACATCATATATGTTATTTTTTTCCATAATCTAGTAATATATTCAAGACGAAGGCTTTTATGTTCAATTTTTGTTGTTGTTTGTTTCTATTTTTGGTGAACACAGGATAGGAAGACATCCTTCAGAGATGTGAGGTGCACTTATTTGATCCACAAGTGTTGTAAAAAACATCACAAAAATAAAGGCTACTCTTTTCTAGTTTAGTTCTTTAGTGTAACAGCACCACCTAACTGTAGAATAATAAGCAAAGGCACAATTCCTACACTTTTAGACCTAATTATGGACTTACAGTAAAGAAAACCAGAAATAAACCAAACATCTATATGTATATAGATCTTAATGGCAACTTCCTAACATTGCTGTGACTCAGTTAACAGAATGTCAACAGACTGTTTGGTTCATTTTTCTGAATCTATTCCTGCTGTCACGTTTTCAGAATAATGGAGAACTGATTGTTCCTGTTAAGTAAATAACTGTAATGCACTAAAAAATTAGAAGCAGTGCCATGTACTGCCTCAAAGCAGCCTTTCAGTCTGCCATTCACCTAGTTACTGCCACATCCATTTGCACAAATAGTACTTTGTACCCTGGTGCCTCAGATTGGCAGAGGCAGAAATACAAAACAGTAGGCAACCTTTTTTTGGTGTGCAACCTTAACAGAGCTATTTCTCAATTCCAAAAAGCAAATGGTGAAGGTGATTGGTTTTTATGTACACCATTAGTTTCTACAAGGTTCCTCCTTTAGTATAGTAGAACACAGGGAGTGGGGTCTGACAGTGGGTACAAGGCTTTTCTTCACAAATGTAGTAATGCATCTAATCAAACAGTGGCTCTGTATCTCTTATTTTAAAGAACTATGCAAATATTTCATAGAATCATTTGCTTCTTTAATTACATTCACAACATTCTGAACATGAGAAAAATGTTCACCATATGAATCTGACAACTACAGATGTAACCTACAGAGGCACAGCAAGCTGTCTTATATCAAATCAGATCATTGTTCCACCTAGGTAAAAAAGGTAAAAGCGGCGCTCATCTCACTTTCAGGCTGAGGGAGCCGGCATTTGTCCACAGACAGCTTTCTGGGTCATGTGGCCAGCATGACAAAACTGCTTCTGGTGCAACAGAACACCATGCTGGAAGCCAGAGTGCATGGAAATGCTCCATCTACCTCATCATTGTCTACGCTGACTTGCAGCAGTTATCCAAGGTTTCAGAGTCTTTCCCATCCTTCCCTGGAGAGAACCTGGTACTTTTGTCCCTTGTCCACAAGCCTCTTGCACCTGCAAAAGACTGGTGTCCTCCTGACAACTCCAGCTCAAACAAACCTCAGATATACCTGTGGTTCATATATAATATCTCATTGGCTTAGCAATAACTTCTGATACTGTGGGAAACTTGCCCTGGATGAAGAACATGAACCAAGATTATGATTTCTACCAGAACCTTTAATACTTAAATTGGTACAGTACATAAGCAAAGTAAAGTTCAAATGTACAACACATGGCTAGGCCACAGCTGTCAACGTTTCCCTTTTTTAAAGGGAAATTCCCTTATTCCTAATAGGATTCCTTGCAAGAAAAGGGAAAAGTTGACAGCTATGGGCTAGGCAAGCTAAGATGCAGATCCAGCAAGCGACATGCCCCCTGATATCCCATTATATGGAATTGGGGTGGTACAACTTAGGGAGCAAGTGGGCCTGTTTCTTAGACTAGGCAAGCAAATGGACACTGCTTCAGGAAGGTTGGGCCTGACCTATCTACTTATGTCTGAGCTGGCGTCTCCGTGACCTAGGTGATGGAGGAGGCATCAGCAATTTCTCCAGATCAGATCAGATGGGTGATTCCTCTTTAGGGACTGAACCAGAGGTGGACTCAGGTAGCTCTGGAGACAACTTGATCTCATAAGCAGAGTGTCCAAGTCAGACCCTGTTGACTCCAGAGACAGAATAGAGCCCACACGTCTGAGTAATGGGCAGGGAAACAGGCAAGGAGATAGGATGGAGAGGAATCCCCCCAACTAGGACCTTCCCTTGTATCCTCTTCAACCTTTCCCCCCAAAACTGTGGCAAAAAGTCAGTCCAATCCCACTGGAATCCAGGAGGGGAGCCCATAAGGCTGTTTCAGGCAATCCATGCCCACCTCTCCTACACCTATGCTATACATGTCAGGTTGGGTTTGGCAGAAAGAGGCTTTGCAAGCACTGCCAATTAGCAGTGCCTACAAAGCCCCTTGTGCAACACTTTCCAAGCACCAACAACCAGCTGATTGTCAGGTGCTTAGAAGTGTTGAACACAGAACTTGCAAAGTACTTTGCACACTACTTTCCGAAACCTCAACAACCAACTGACTGTTGGGTGTTTGTGAAGCACTGCACACAGGGCTGAGCAAGCCCTTTAAATTATCTCTTCCAACTTCACAGGTCAACTCTGACTGGTGTCAATTACCTGGTATCATTGATGATTGACAGGTGCTGCCCACCCATCAAAGTTGGCCCACAAAGGGGGGGGGGGCGAGCAAAGGGATAAAGATCTGGCCTGCTGAGCCACAAAGCTTTACAATCCAAGTCTACATTGAGCAACGGCAACTCTCCAGTGTTTCATACAAATTTTTTCAAGCCCAGCGATTAAATTTGGGCAGTTCTCCATACAAAGCATGGGTTCTATCACTGAGTTTGGCCCTATCCCTATAGCACTATGGAGGTGCTATGTCAACATAGTTTATCAGGTCCATTCTGAAATCCAGAGATGCTCAAACGTATGTCTAAAGAGTAATGAAAAACATGTAGCGATTAATCTTTCAGGAATATAACAATGATAAAGTACATATGGCTACTCAACTTTTATTGGTATCAT